GCACGTAAATTTCAAATAAAAATTTCGCACATAAATTCCGAAAACTCAAACTCTGGGCTCGCCCAGATTCCAATCCATGGCCTCAGCTTGAGAGGCTGTAGACCAAACCATTAGACTACCACGGCTATACTTACTTTGTTACCATCTACTTTATACAGCATGTGTTTCAAATAAATTGTGAATTATAAAAAATCAAACAAACAAACTTTATTCCACATTTAATTACCCCAAGCAATATGAACTGGTGTCTTTTCTTGATAACATTTAAAAAAATTATAAACTTTATCTTTTGCCTCTGTAGCACTATGGTCTTTGCAGTTTTCAGCGGCTTTTATTATTCCTTCCTTGTCTACATTTTGAGGGTAGATTCTTAGCAATTTGTCCGTATTTATAATTCCTTTTCTATTCGATATCCCTGACTTTTTGAACGCACATAGGAAGAACTGCTTCACGTTATCATCAGCGGAATATTCCTTATTGCGAATTTGTATCAGAATTGCAGGATCCGCACCAGTTTCGCTGATACATTGTAATACAAATTGTAATAAATTTGTAGTTTTTTCTGGTGCAAGCTGTACATTCTGGAATAAATAAATAAGTAAGTAAATGAGAAATCGATTAAATAAAAAATTAATTCCACGTTCTACGTTAATCTTTTATCAAGTAGTTTCTAATTTTTAACTGACTACAAAAAAGAAGGAGGAGGTTTTTAATTCGATTGTATTTTTTTTATGTATGTTATGCGATTACTCCGATATTTGTGAACCGATTTTGATGACTCTGTTTTTTTTTGCTAGAAAAGGAGTACATCAGTAGTGGTCCTATTCAAATTTGAAGAAAATATTTTACTTCTAAGAGTGGTAAATTAGGGAATTAATCTGGTTCATTGAATTTCACCCATTTTCACTTAAACGATTTCAATAAAACTTGGCACATAGACGTAATACAAATGAAAATAAATTGTCATGACAGATGAGACGAACTCCTCAACATACTCCTCAACACAGCAGCTACCTTGTGTTTGAGCTCATACGTGATTCGTTTTGATAAGGATTTTCATATGCGTAGCAGTAGAGCTCCTAGTGAAAGAGTTCGTCCAGGGATTTACTGCTACCTTACCTATTTCTGCCGCCAAGCAGTTATGTCAGCATTACTGCGTTCCGGTTTTGAAGAGTAAGGGTGCTGGTGAAGTTACAGACACAGGAGACTTGTCTACTTATGTCTCAGGGTTACGGGCGCAGTGGCAGTGTCCCTAAGATCATTACGATTTAATGCTGTGAGTGGCACTGCAACTGTTATGGACAGGCGTGTCGCTTACCACCAGGCGCACGACTTGTTCGTTTCGTCACTTGGAATTATAAAAAAATGCGTTTAGATTATTATTGAGGAGGCCGCGTCAACGAACAAAGCGAAAACTGATGAGATTTAGGTCGACTTTTTTTAGTAATATGTTATGATTATATTATGTATCAACAAAAGAAATAAGAAATAAATTACCTACAAGTAATGTTATTCAATTACCTATAAATATAATACTTTATCGAATTTTAATTAAACTTGTAACAGTAAAACCGGCAATTGGAAATTATTGTTCATAGTTCAGTTAATAAGCGCTTTAGATATGACAAGATAAATAAGAAAGATAACAAAATTTTATCATTGTTTCGGATTTACAGGGAATTCTTTCGTAAATTAACTCATTCATTAACAGTACCCCAAACAAAACTGTCACTAGTTTTCTTGCCGTAGTGCTTATATTGATTCAATATAGTAACAGTAGAGCGACTTGAGAAAAAATTATTCCAAGTAACTACTGCCATCTTACCTATTTCTACGGCCAAGGAACGCAGTAATGCTCACATTACTGCGTGTTTTGGAGGATAAGGATGCTGGTGAAATTACATGCACATGGGACATTTCAACTTTTGTCTTAGGGTGATGGGTGCAGTGGTAATGCCCATCAGATCTTAGCGATTTAAAGCTCTGAGCGAAACTGCAACTATTTTGGACATGCGTGTCGCTTATCACCAGGCGCACGACTTGTTCGTCCCATCACTTGGTATCATAAAACAATACATAAAATTTTCAATATAAATCATTGAATTTTGTCAGTACATTGTTAAATACTTCTCTATGGAGGAGCAGTATGCAGCAACGACACAGAAAGTACTTATGAATCGCACTGTAAAGTCCGTAGTTGGTCTTTTGAGGTCCGTATAGCGAAACGAGGTACCCCATATTATTACCCGATTTTAAAAAAGGGGGAGGTTCTTTATTCGATTGTATTTTTTTTGCATGTTTCGCGATAATTCCGACATTTGTGAACCGATTTTGATGATTGCTTTTTTTGTTGCAAAGAGGTCACCTCTGTATTGGTAGTTGGTCCCATTTCAATTTGAAGGAAATATTCCACCTCTAAGGGTGGCAAACTAGAGGATGTATCCGGTTTCACTCATTTTCCGGTAACCAATTTCAATAAAACTTGGCAAATATAAAGTAACTCCACGAACTTTTGAGGTCGTTTTTTTATAACAAAGTCATCATATTCTGATATTTAATATTACGGTAAATGACGTTACTGTCTATGAACGGGTTAATATATTAAGACTTAATTAATTAACCTTACAAATAACCAACTTACGTGACGCGAATAACCAAAGTCAACATAAACCAAACTCAAGGCAAATGTAAATATTATTTTATACATTTTAAATATAAAAAAATAATAATGTAAGAAATTAGACAAAAAGAGTCTTACAGCACTCAATACATCTAGTAGAATGAGCACGGTGAGGGTAACCATAACTTTTTATACCTTTATTTAGGTGGCATTGAAACGGATTGAGGATAACTTGTTACATTTGACTAAATGCACCTTTATATAAAAAAAAGTAAATTCTTGAACCTTCTTCTTCATTATTTGATGACATTGGTGGCCCGACGGTTTAGGACCACCTAATATCATCCAGATAGAACAAATTTGGAACTTTTCCAAATTATTTGTTCTCTTGGTGACCCGGAGAGCATTCTATTGCCTTGGTACTCAAATATAATACTGAATATAAAAATACACAAAACAAAGAATTCTTCCTTAGTTCGAGAACACGTCACACATAAAACCAAATAAATGTCGCAACTCAAAATTGTGAATTTAATAAAACACGTTTCGAAAGTACAAAATATTTACTAAATGACACCAATAAATTTACATTCTCGTTTATAAATAGATGTAAGTGAACATTGTGTATAAATAAAAATAACCATATTATTCGCTCCACATTATAAGATCCGTTCAATATTTTTTTTTACTTTCAAATTGTATTTTCTCTATTCCATCAATTTTTGAGTTAGAGACCGTATTTGGTTTCAAATTCGATCTAAGTGTGGTTATTTGGCACATTATTATGAATACAATATAATTTCGATGTAAATAAAAACAAAGACAATGATTCAAATGATACTGACCAGTATAAAATTTCCTGGTGGTATTAGCATTCTACTTTTACGAGCTTATAAAAGTATTGAATATGAAAATATAATAATAACGCACACACTCCCAGCCCCACACTAGGGAAATCCTTTATCGCGGGTGCCATAGACGCACATGTAGACAACCACAAATTACATCCAAAAAGTGCGTGGCAACAGTTCGGCCAAGGAGGTAGTATAATATGTAGAGGGATATTATTTTTAGTAGCGGTAGAACTCCTTGTGAAAGAGTAATGTGAACATTACTGCGTTTCGGTTTTGAAGGGTGGTGGTGAAATTACAGACACATGGGACTTGTCAACTTATGTTTACCACCATGCGCACGACTTGTTCGTCCTGTCACATGGTATCATAAAAAAAATATTATTCGCTCAGGAGATCGCTATACTATCCATAGGTAAGATCCGGAACCAGGAGTAATCTGAAAATCAGCGTATTTGAATGTCCACCAACATGAATGGCTTTAAATTTCTAAACGATTGTCATGGATGACCAAACGCAAAACTACGCGGATGAATTAGTTTTTTGATATCATTCTGACAAAACTCACGAAGTATGCTTCCACATTTGTATGGCGAACGGTTGTGGAGTGGAATTCCCTGCCTGTAGACTTATTCCTTGAACGCTATATCGTCAAGGCGAGAGTAAATAGGTATTATTTAGGTGTGCATGCTCCATCGTCGACCTCCTTACTTTCTATCAGGTGCGATGGAGTTCAAACGCGCACTTATTTTTTTTATAAAGTTAAATAAATAAAGTTTAATTTGGCAAATTAATTTAAATAAATATTAATGTATTAATTAGACTTTGGAACCTCAGAAGACCTAATCGTAGAACACTTATGTAGCGAATCACAGCAGTCGCTACAAATCTCCTTTATATATATTTTATACAGCCTTTTTAAGTTTAGTTTTATATTTAAATTCTAAATTTAAATGTGATTGTTTTTGGCGCCTTCTCTTGCTATTGTTTTCTGTTTTGCTTTGATAGCTGTACGTGTTTATAATAAATTTATAAACTGTAAGGGATGCTTAGATGGTTCGGACATGTAGAGAGAATGAATGAAAGAAGATTGACAAAACAGATTTATAAGGCGAGTGTGAGCGGGTAAGTTGGTAAGGGCCGACCAAGGCGAATTTACCATGACCAAATTGAGGCCATCCTAAAGAGGGGCCAAGTCAAGAGTACCTTTACCTGACGAGCGTGTTTGAAAGCACTGATGCGTATTGATGAGGCGAAAGGTGTGTGTCAGGACCGTAGCAAGTGGAAGGCTGTTGTCTCTACCTACCGCGATGGGAAAAACGTGTGAAAGACATGTTAAAAAAGATCCACCCAATTATACGTGGTAGTTTTACCACGTGTAACAAAACTAATAACAAAATGAATATACAAAACGAATAACAAAATTAAAATGTAACAAAAAATAAACATTTTAATAATTTATCAAAGATTGAAAGAACAGCATAAATTAAAAAGAATAACAATATACAAAAAATCAATTTCTTATTTGCTTAAAAAATGAGATGAGTTGGAGCAGCACTGTAGTAGCATTTGAAAATTTCAAACGCAGTGTCGGCATGAGTCTTTCCCGTCTTCTTTTTACATTCCTCTAGAACTTTAGCTACTTTGGTTTTATCGACGTTGGAAGGCAATTTGGCTAAAGCTACGTCAGTATTAAGCTTCGCATCGGAAGTCAAAATTCCGGTCTTTTTGAAGAAACATAGGGTAAATTTCTTAAGAGCCTCATCGTCGCTGAATTGACCTTTCTTTGCTTGGGCTAGAAGTTCGGGTCTGACGCCTGTTTCCTTGACGCACTCAGCAGTGAACTTCTTTACGGCTTCCTTTTGTTTTTGCGACAACTCGGCGCTCTGGAAATAGAGATAAAAAAAACCTATCATATTTTTTTGTTTTGGAAAACTGAGTGTATTGTAGTTAGCTATGATATAGCTATGACCATATTAAAATAAACATTAACAAAATGAACCTTAATTATTAAGTAATCTTCATTTTATTTATTACTTACTTATTTGGTAAGTAACTTACTAATCTTCATAAACCTATACAATTATATCTTAGAATAATAGTGTAGTTGCGATGCCTAAACAAAGTAAATGACTACCTTTATTTTAGGTATCTTGTTGTAAGTAAAGAATGTGCAAAGGAAGCAGAAGAATCTGTGCGGGTGTGCTGTGAGGAGTTGTATACAAGAAAAGTATCGAGTCTGTGGTTGGTTAAAAATATGGAACCAAATGGATTAATTGATTGTTTTTTTCAAAACTTTTTGTAGGACAAACAGTTGCCGAACAGAGAGGCATGTAGTATGTAGTCTTATGCTGTCGAAGAAGAGGTAACCAATGGCGGATACGAGTTCTTAAGTAAAGATGGAGTGACGATATGCGAAAGACTGCTGCCAGAAAATGAATACGAGAAGCTAGGGAGAAGGCAGGGCGACATGACGCACATTGGGAGCGGTCTTTGTCCAGCAATGAACCACAATAGGCTGATAATTCTGATATACGTGCCGATCCGAAGGTTGAGGCCATTATCCTGTTGGCATTAGAAACAGAGAATTTACTTTTTTATTAATCTTTGTTTATTTAGGGACTTTGATCGTTATTGAACATGTCAGCCCCATTAGTAAAATGGTACATCAAGAAAACACTTAAAAAAATCCAGACAGATAAATCAAAATACAACCTAACTAAACATGTATACAAAATCTCCACGGCACTCTACATGTTGGCCCCGACAAAACAGATAAAAACCACCCAATATTAAATGTAATTAAAACCAGCCTAAACTAATGAATGGGTTTTTCTTTTATCTACATAAATTGTAATAAGATTATTGAACATTAAAAACAAATAAAATTTTATAGAAGTGATGCCTAAATAAACCACAGAACATCTCATGACGCCTTACGTCAAAATCACTACAATATTTTCTATTTTTTTTCCTTATTACATAAGCTATTGCTTAATATATAATAAGTAATATATCTTACATTAGCAGCGGCGATGGCAACCATGCACACGAAAAGGAACGCCTTCATTGTATCTAAATAAACTAGATAGTAAATACTCCTGTGAAATACACAAAGTTATTGGATAAAATGAATTGGCACTATATCTTTTTATACTAGCCGTGAAGGAAATCTACTATAGCTTTGAGGAAATAAAGTATTTTATATCCAGATTTCAATATCATCCGGTATTCCTTCCGATCAACGCCTATGTAGGCACTTGCAGTTCACTCACATTGAATCCAGCTCCAGAATCGTAAGTTTTATAATAGAACAGATAAAAAAATTAAATGATCATTAAAACTAAATTGTATGATATTATAATGTTCTTTGCCAGTAAACTTATTCTAGTAAATAAACTTTATATTACATAGTGCAGATTGCATACTTGCTGTTGCACACACCTTGTTCTTTATAATTAGTTAGATGCCAGCTGTTTATAATGTATACTTACTTATATCTTTCTATCTTTTTAGTTTGCTTGTTTTGTTTTCACTGTTAATTTATTATGTGTCCTTATGGTAAGATAACATTACGTATTATGTATTGTCTATCTTTCTAATTGTAAGCAATTCATTGTAGATCTAGCTAATCTCACGTATACCTACCTACTCAATAGCGATGCATTGGATACCATAACGGACGCAGACATCAAAAGTACGAAAACGGAAGCGGACGCGGAACGCAAGTGTAAATACCATAAAGATTTCAACGAAATAGTTCCAAACGGGGCTTGTTTTAGTTTCACAATTGCACTTAACACAGCACAAAACTGCTAAACACGCGCGCCCCATCGCCAATACGCATGTGCGCCTGTACCATCTCGAACGATGTAAATTTCGAGTAAAGTTCCATTACAACAGTTGCGGAAGCAGAAACGAAAACAGGCGTGAAAAAACGGGCGAAACTTCCGCAGTTGCAGCAGCAGAAGCAGAGGTTTGTTTTTCTGTCAATTTAAAGAGCTTTGTCACAAAATGCGATTACGCCGTTCTATATATATAAATCACAGGTATGTTGCATAATTAATACTCAGTTTAGATAAATGGATAAAACAATAGTTATTTGACTTTAAATCTACGAAATACGCGCGCCTAACAACACCTAGTAACACGCCTGTCCGAAACAGTTGCATTTCCCCTCAGATCTTATCTTATCTTATGTCTCAGGGTGATCCCTGAGACATAAGTTGAAAATCCCATGTGCCTGTAATTTCACCAGCACCGTTCCAAATGGGAACGCAGTAATGTTCACATTACTGCTTGGCGGCAGAAATAGGTAAGGTGGCAGTACTTCCCTGGACGAACTCTTTAGTAAAGTGCTCTATTGTTACTAAAGGCGCAAGGAGCTCTGTTACATAAAATGTCTAAATAAATAGAACCGCAAACAATCAACATTCTTAATTAAAAAAAATATGTTTAACTATTCATCATATACATTTATAATTTACCAAATTATCATAAAAATATGTAACCATCTAAAGACATAAGATTTTTATAATACACTTTTGTAGTTCTATATAGGGTCGAAATGAGAATAAACTTTTCCAGTTTCAAGATGTAATAATAACGATAGTTAGTAGGTAAATACTAGATGAATAATCGCCTTAACCACATGATACCAGTTACAGCAACTTCATGACCTAACCTTGCCCGGTGAATTTCCGCTTGTTGCACTGTAATTGGACCGGTACTTGTTTAATTCCCGTCCACATTTATTTTTAAATTTTATTTGTAAACTTTTTCAAATCGACTTCGGAAACGGTCCACTGAAAACTAATGCTGTGGCTCCACGCCGCAGTATATTTTTTATAATATCAAGTGACGGGACGAACAAGTGCGCCCATGGTAAGCTACACGCCATAACAGTTGCAATGCCACTCAGAGCTTCAAATCGCAAAGATCTGAGAGGCACTGCCACTGCGCGCGTCACCCTGAGACATAAGTTGACAAGTCCCATGTGCCTGTAATTTCACCAGCACCCTTACCCTTGAAAACCGGAACAAACGGTATTTGCTGAGTTGGACCCTTTTCAGTACAACACACTTTGAAGCATAAATTCATAATATTGTACTCGTAATTGTACTGCATGTATGGTACTAAAAATATATATATTTTCTCTTTTCTTTCTTTCTAACTGCACTTGCGTTATGAATATCAGAAACAACGACGGTACCACAAACACCCAAACCCGAAACAATATAGAAAAGTAAGTTTTCTATATTGTCCTGGCCAGGGATCAAACCCGGGATATCCGAGATGGCAACACCATGAAAACTGTAATTTGTCCGTAAAGATAGTTTTGAACATCATCATTATCATCAACTCATTTACACATCCAACTGCTCTGCACGGGTCTCCTCTCAGGCGAGGGTTTTGGTCATAGTTAGCCACGCTGGTCCTCACACACACGCGTTTTCCGAGGATTGTGAACCTTCTTCAACGTGCGAGTTTCATCACGATGTTTTCCTTCACCGAAAAAGTCATGGTAAATTTCTAATTAAATTTCGCAGTTAATATGTGTGTTTTTATGTGAGTTTTAAATATCTAGGGCGTTATATTACCGACGACCTTGATGACCAGGCGGATATTGAGAGGAAACGTAGAGCATTGGCGATTAGAAGTAATATGTTGGCACGCAGCGCAGGTTTGCTCGTTGCAGTAGGCAAGTAAAAATTACGCCCTTCAAAGCCTACTGCCAATAGTTGTATACGAGCAGCCTGTGGTTCAATTATACTAAAAGATCATGATGCAATAATAAAAACAAAAACACCTCGACTTCAGTTTCGCGTGTGGATACAGTGAGTGTGGTTTGTGTGAAAAAAGTTAGTGACAATGGTAACGCCACAACAAATCGCGATGAAGGTAGTTCGTCGATAGCGCAAGAGGGTAGACAGATATGTCTGCTCTTAAAGCTGTCATCTGCCGCTGTCCAGTCAACCCGTGACCATGGAGCGTGCAACCGTTCCTGAATATCGGGAAAATAAAAAGAAGTCATACCGTGGTAAGAAGCCTAAAATTAGTGATAATCATTTTTGTGAATAAACACGAAAGCCTTAAAATCTATATACTAAAAAATCGCTTAGTGAGATAGTTTGACTTGTATTTTTATTTTATTTTCTTTGTCACTAACATAGTTTTTTTAATTATTTTGTAAGATACTAACACTGTTGGACAATACCATTGTCTGAATATATAATTATATTATTATTCAAAATTCCGAAAAACTCATAGTCTTTCGTATGACTTGAGATAAATATATCATAATGTGATACCCACTACCTCTTATCCCGCGACTTTGTAGAGCAATTTTGCACTCGTATTTTCCTGTTGATATCATAAATCTGAACAGAATCTGATTACAACGTCGCAATGACGAATGGGGACCTTCTTTATAAAAAGGTATCATTCGAAATGAAACTATTTTTTCCGGATCTAATCGTGTTTATTTATTTTTTCATACAAACTAACGTTTTGGGCTCTTTACGAAACTGAAAGACATTTATCACTTTATAACATACTGACCTAAAAGAAAATTTCAAAACATGTCTTCGATGATGTTTTTTTCTCGTAATTATGTAGGTATCTAAACACTTTATTCTATTAAAATATAAATAATAGTTATAACTTTTTTATAAACAAACCGATCTCAAAAGTCTGTGGAATTAGATCTATTTGCTAAGTTTTATTTCAATCGGTTAACGGATAGTGAATAAAATCCAATAAACCGCATTCATCCCTTAATTTGCCCCTCTTAGAGGTGGAATATTTTCTTTGAATGAGACCGCTACTGAGGTGCCCCCTTTACAACAATAAAAGAATCACCGAAATCGATTCCCAAATATCGGTGTAATCGTGTAACACACACAAAAATAAGAAAACTTAATCGAATTGAGAACCTCCTCCTGTTTTGCAGTGGGTTAAAAATATGCGAGACGTATATTCAATTATGAACCTCCTAAATTTTAAAAAGAAATTAGATGTAATGTCACTCTAATGTGTTTTACTACGGAAATATAACTTACGCACGAATAAAATAATACACCTCTATTACGCATAATCAGGCTTCAACAATAAAAAACGAGTATAATCGTATAGGGTATCTTGTCATTTACTTAAAAGTGGTTTACACGTTTATTGTTGTATTTTATTTTATCTTACTTTTTGGTATTGTATCATGCAATAATACATGCCTATTGAAAAAAATTGGCAGTCGCTTATAGTTTTTATACAAATAATAGCGAAAAATTCTTTCAAACTGCTGTTCAAATATGTTTTCACAAAAATATAAAAATATACCACATATTTTTTATTCTTTTATTCTTGTGAAATGAAAATTTCACATTGATTTTGATGAATATTACGATATTTTACTACCATATTCTTTTATTTTTGTGAAATTACTCCTTAATGACTCACCTACTTGCTACTTACTCCACTAGTTTATTATAATTATTAATACAAAAGTCGGAAAAATTCCTTCGATCTGTTAGGACACGAACCTGTGTCCGTTTTGCCAATCTAGGGCAACTATCATGTCAGATCAAAAGAATGATTTCCTGATGTTCAACCTCTGTATTAATAATTAAAAATATTTGGTTTTCAGACATTTTCTTAAAAACCTTTTAAATTCTACACATACATTTTATTTCAATCACGTTCATCATTTTTTTCAAATAAATCCATCAGGTGCAGAGTTATTGAAGTTGTTACTCTATTTTTCCTGTAAAATTGATATTTTGATAATACACATATTTTATTCGGTGGAGCCATCGATATTCTATACTATACTATAGTTTTGTCTAGTTGATGTGAACTTTTAGTATAAAACGACTAATTATTTTCGTAGTAATGTTGTACCTACTCGTATTATTGTGTGGTAACATTTTCGAATGTAATACAATTAGGTTAACACCTTGTATAAAACGATAAATACTTAATGTAAGCCCGAATTAGTGACCGTGCAGTTTTATTGACTCTAGACGTCACTCTAATGTCGTAAATCTTTACTTGTCAGTATATACGTCTTTACATAGGTATACCTAAAAACTAATTGGTGAGGTAATCAGAAAATCAATTAGAGATTTCGATTACGTTGGTATTGAAGGACAAATCGGCAATATGAAAATCAAATCTTGATCTAGTTCGATATTGGCCTTAGAATATGCAGGCCACTGATATGCCATAGATGGTTATTGCATGCTGGTACCTATCTTGTATTAGAATAAATTGAGTAAACTTGTTACTGACCTAGGATATTCAAGTACAGACTTACGTACTTAGTTTAGTCTTGTAGGGTAAATAAAAGTGAATGATTTAGTTTAAGTGTAGATGCTAGAAGAAAAGCTTTTAGATTAATTTCAACGTTGCCTTTGTCGTTTTCTGCATCTTCTTACGCCGCTGATCACAGTCACAAGGTTCATTATAAACCGACTTCAAAAAAGGAAGAGGTCCTCAATTCGACTGTTTTTTTTATTACGCGATTACTCCAACTTCTGTGAACCGATTTCGATGATTCTTTTGTTGGAAAGAGAGACCTTGGTAGTTCCATACAAATTTAAAAAACATCCTACCTCCAAGGGTTATAAATTAGATGATGAATCGGTTTATTGGATTTCACCTACTGTCCGTTAGCAGATTTCAATAAAAACTGGAAAATAGAGGTACCTGAGGCACATTTTATTCTTAACGTTACAAAAAACGGTATCCATGAGGTACGATCTCCCAAACAGTTTACTGTAGTAATTGTGAATAGCACCAACAGAACAGATACAAAACTTGCAAAACCGAATTTGGAAGTTTTCAACAGCAGCCACCACAGCAACCGCCGCAGCAAGAACTGCACCCGCCACAGCAAGGCCCGCATCCGCCGTACCTAATTCTACAAACTTTTGAGGTCATTTTTTTATATAAAAAAGTTATAATTGTATGTTATTTTATATGATTTCTGTTAGCACCTTTCTTCTTGGACATCTTTCAGACAAACCTTCATCGAACTTACCTATACTTTATTATCATTGCTTATAGTAACATGTTTCTTTTTTCTGAAAAAAAATTTACCGAAATTCGTTAGTATCAATATATTACAGTACTCATTATATATTAGACTGCCTATTATATATTAGAACCTTGACCTACCTGCTTCTGGATTATAGTCATAATCACCAGTCATGGAAGGAGGCTTTTTGGAGAAATCTTTGTCGATGTCGCTTTTGTCGTTTCAGTTGGATGTGTGTGTATATTTACGTGTGAGGCAACAAATATGCTCGAATTTTCATACCTATTATACGTCAAAAATTAACATTGAAGCAGTGAATCCTCACAAGTGCCAGGGATGCACAACATTGTTACAATACAATAGTCTGAATTTTAAAAAAAACTATGATAATTATTGGGTTGTACTAAATCACTAAAAACAGGACATTGAACAGTTTAAATAGCCATTATACTTAGATACTTTTGGTTTCACAAAGAAAAATCATTTGTGTTAAAAAACTAATGAAAAATACATAGAAAGAAGAATGAAAAATAAAAGTGACGTCGGTCCAAAAGCAGTAACTGAATGGAGTCCCTAACATCCTCCGGAGAACAAAAAAAAACACAATAATAATAGCAGTAATAACCATAATGGTATAATAATTAACACAAGGATCGAACACTTAGAAAAATTCCTTCGGAACGTCTTCTAGCAAACCGTGTCAGACGTTATGCCAACTAAGCTACGGAACGAATCAAAACACAATAAAATCCAAAAGACAATGTCAAGTATGAAGCTTCATTTACTTCATGCGTCTATAATTCGGTCGAGTACTACATATTTGTCAATAATTGTTTCGGATAGATATCGGACGGAAAACGGAAGTACCAAGTAGGTAAGGTGCTAAGAAAGCTATTTGTGATTCCGCTCAAGAACACTTTAATGGAACAAGGTCGAAACTTAGACGTAGAACACATAGGGCGCACTATAAGTTTCCGGAAGTGGCCACTTACATAAAAAAATATTTAAAAAGTAATTACAACATTTGAAAATAGAACTCTTTGGCTGTAGAATACAGTTTGTTTAATCTGACTGTCACTTGTTTTTACATTGTGGCATCATTTTAGAAATTGATTGTTTACATCACCATGAATTTAACTCGTGAAAATTTTCGTAGTATGATTTTCTACGACTTTAAGTGTAATTCAACAGCTCAGCGGAGATTCGCTCGGCTTCAAACTGCTTTTGGCGATGAAGCACCATGCAAGACTATTTATAGCTGGTGTGCAGAATTCAAACGCTGTCGTGTGAATCTCAGTGACAAATTTCGTGATGGTCGCCCGTCCACTGCTGTGAACAACAAAAACATCGATGCTGCACACCGTATGATCAAAACAGACAAGCATTTGACATACCATTAGATTTGGGCATCTTTAAGCATAGGTATGAGTCAAATACAGACAATACTATACAAATATTTGGGTGTGAAACAGCTATGCTCTCGGTAGATCCCACACAATTTGACTGAGGCTCAAAAAACGGATCGCGTCTCTTGGTGCAATGCCATGCTTACCAAATTCAACGAAGGGGCGTCAAATTTGGTTTGGGACATAGTAACAGGTGACGAAACATGGATTTATAGTTACGACCCCAAAACAAAACAGCGATCGAGCGTATGGGTCTTTCGAAATGAGCCGAAACCAACCAAAGTGATGCGCGTGCAAAGTACCTCTAAGCGGATGATTGCTTCTTTTTTAAATAAAACTGGACACGTAGCTACTGTTGCTTTGGAGAATCGTTGTACCGTGAATAGTGATTGGCACACGACCATTTGTTTCTCAGAAGTTATTGACAATCTCCGTAAAAATAACCGTAAACGCCGTATCATCTTGCACCACGATAACGCCAGTTCTCACACGGCCAGACAGACAAATGAATTGTTGAAGATGAACAACGTTGACCTTAATGAGCCATCCCGTATACAGTTCCGACCTGGCACCTTGTGACTTTTATTTATTTCCAATAATTAAGAACCAGAACGCAGTTAACGATTTTCATCACCTGAAGAGTCTGTCGAATAGTATGAAAAATATGTTTCAAAGATTGTCACGGAGGAGTGGCATAAGTGTTTTCAAGATTGGTTCATTCGTATGAAAAAGTGCATTAACGCTAACGGAGAATATTTTGAGAAACTATAAATTCATTTCTGACCATTTATAGTACTTTTTTCTTATTCATTCCGGAAACTTATAGTGCGCCCCACGTATAGAGGGCGGTTGCGCCACAGAAATCTTTGCGGCTATCGTTACATAAGGCGCTACCTGTTCCTTCACGTCTATTGATTTATGAACATAGGTACTAGCTAGTACTAGTAGGTACTACCAGTCTTTCACACGTTCAATACTACTCTCGCCTTTTTTCAAACACCATGGTATTTAGAATTTTCAATGAAAATATTTTTATAATCACGTCGAACCTGACGTGTTAAAATGTTGGTTAACCCTAAAACAGAACCTATAGCAGATTATATTTATAAGGTTTCAGCGTGTCACTCGGTCTACTTAGTGGCCCACTCACCAGTGTTCAAGCTGCTTTTGTACACTCCACTAATTGTCACTATATTTATATCATTTTGAATACAATCAAATTGTTTTAACATCTGACTCTGTTTTAAAGAACCGGTAAGTTTAGAAAAAAAATAATACGTTCCTGAAAAACAAAATAGGTTTGATCTTGGTAATTTGGATACCTCGTACTAGAATGCCTATATTTAAATACTCAAATTCCAGTAATTACTCGTTTGTGGAATTTATAGGCGTTAAAGTAGGAAATCCGTTTTTTTCTCTTTTCCAATTATATGACATAAGTATCGTCATATAAACAAATCATATCGACACGCGGCAAAACAACAACATAAGTTTTGTCACCAGTGTAACATGTTAATAGAAGACGATGTTTTTAAGCAAAGTATTCAATAATGTAACTTTGGAATAGCCTGAAGTTGTGTCTACGTAACCTATACCTATTCATTAATAATCTCAGTACAGAGTACCTACTAAAAAAACCGACCTCAAAAGTACGCGGAAATACATCCATTTCCCAAGTTTTATTGAAATATCCACTTTCGGTTCACAATTCGCCACTATACAGGACTTGACATAGGAGATAATAAAAATCGGTACTCACTACTGAAAGTATATTGAGAGAACCAACCATTAAAATAATTGCTCCTTAAGTAAAATCGCTATTTATAAAAATGAATGTTCATGCGTGATCAGCCACCCTTAGAGATGGATGATTTTCTTCAAAATGAAATGCAACCACTATGGCGGTACCCTCTTTCCAACAAAAAAAGAATCATGAAAATCGGTTCACAAATACCGGAGTTATAGCGTGACATACATACAAAAAAAAATATGCAGTCGAATTGAAACCCTCCTCCTTTTTTTTAAGTCGGTTAAAAATAAGTACTTACCTTCTGTAAAATATAGGTCTACAACGTCTCAACAAAATAAAATTGATTCGCGTATCTATCCCCCAGATAAGAAGCATGAATGACGAACCTGAATGCGGAGTCCGTCGTCGACGATCATCCGCCAACCCAAATCTACCACTCAACCTAGAGGTTGGGTTCCAAGTGAACGAGGGCGGTCCAAGCCAGGGCACTCCTTCTCCGTGTCATTTCAAGCTGATGAATTCTGATAGCAAGGAAGGGCCTTCATCAGCTCTATTAGAGTTCAGAAAGAAGCAACAATCGTTTGATGTCCAGGTACTATTTCACATTCTACGTAAATGAAATGAATAAAACTATCTATTAAATTGCTCATATACATTATTATTTTGCTAAGACCAATTTATAACAAATAACATTTACAATTGTAATATGCTATAAATTGCGGAACTAGCCGCCGGAAGGAGGTTTTTAAAAAGGCGATTTGTGTCCTTTTATAAGATTTAATTACATAGGTTTGCCTTAAAACTACTTATGCTAATTGACCGGTTCGCTTCAGCGGTTGAGCGAGAGTGTTCTCTAAAACGTTACATGGATTAACCTTAATTTCGACACTTCACTTTTGGGAATTTTACCAATGATTCACTGGTCTTTCACAATCACTGTTGGTATGCGGCGTCTTTGTGAAGGGTTAGCACCGGTAACACCTCCCCTCCTAGACAAGTAACTATTTACAAAGGTTGAGAGCAAATATTGCGACTTGACGATCTTCCATAGATGTCCTTTCAGCTTCCATGGGTGTAGAGATCTCCGTAGTCCTTATATTGGTTTCAGGGGTTGTTTGAGTAATTTCTATCTGACGGCGGCGACGGTGTCGCAGTATATATAAAATACTAAGTACAGCTGCACTTAATAGAGCGATGTACAACGGTATTGTCGTATGATATAAATATTTGAAGGATCAACGCTATCAATCTTTATCGGGGCTTCCATAAGAACTTGGTGTTGAATATTGTGCAATTTGTCCAAATTAGTCGTTGTGAAATTGTAGTGTGGCAAATTCTTAATAAGTGGTGTGGTAATTGTTGGGATTGGCATCAGTTCGACGGCGTTACCGCGAATTTTGTCATCAGCATTAATGATTATCAAATCTTTTGTTATAATTTTGCAATCTTTGGGTACCGTTGCAAAATAACTGCCGCTCAGTGAGCTATATTTTTCATTTTCGCAGAACATCTGAACTTTTGTGGCTTCTGGGAATGACATGATGTAATGTTGACTATCGAGTTCCAGTAGTGCCTCTTTGAAAAGAGTTACCACTGTTGGGGGCATAGATTTTCTGTTTCGCGCTGGTATATGAGATGATAGATGCAGTCTCGATGTGCGCATTTTTGATGTGTGAACTTCTGCTCGCAGATGTTCCAAGAGTTCACCTTCGGGCATTCTGCCTCTATGTACACGAATTCCTTGGAATTGGTTACTATGAAAGGGAATGGAGGCAAAATTATATGGGAATTTTTATTAGGGACTGGGCAGAGTCGGTAAAGATTATAAGTTGTTGAAGATAAAATAGGGAATTTTAAGAATCACTATTTTATTATCAATGAAATAAGAACCTAAGCTAATCATATCATAGTAATATCTAGTATCTAATGACCTGTAAAGGGCCCGAAACGTCGGTTTGTTTGAAAAAACAAATATACGCGATTTAAATCCGGAAAAATAGTTTCATTTCCTATGTGTAACAATCGCGAAAACCTAAAAACTCGATATCTAGTATCTAAGTTAAGAAATTGATCCGAATTATATAAAGTGTTTAATTTGCTTACTATGTTGCCTAATTGCTTAATAGATAGTATCGAACGGTGCACAGATTAAGTATGACTAAATGCTAAAATATTTTCTAGTCTATCTATTTCTAAAGGAAGCTCCTGAATATTTTCAGAAATCGCGTTGAAAAGTTGCATTGTCTTAATATATTATATTACATGCTCATCCTTTGAGGAATTCATAAGATAAGAAATAGCTCCCCTAAGCTTTTGTTGATTATGACTTTTGTTGTTTAGAGTTTGAGTATGTTGAATAGTCATATCTTGAAATAAACTAATGTGTTTGTTTAACGTCGCTGATAGTGCTCGATCAATCTTTTGCAAAATTTTGATAGCGTTTTCGAATCTTAGAGCGTCATTTTGGTCAAGATTACCTGTTATACTTTTAATAATCGTACCCAAGGGATCGATTAGACCACGTGTTTATCTTTTAGATTCAAATGATTCTAGGCGTGATTTTATTAGTTTTAGTTTACTAAAGAGGTGGAAGAATTGAAATTTGAAAATAAAATTGTTTTTCTTAGACAAACGACTGATAGAGTCAGTTAACTGGGTTTCAAGAGAGTTAGTTTGATTTTGTATTTCATCGATGTGTATTTCTTGTGGAAAGGAATGTTGGTGAGGTATGATTTTTGTTTTGCCTAAGTTGAAGAGTAGTAATTCAGGTCCGTTAGACAAGTCGTCAAGTCGTATGATGTTCCCCGTCAGGTGGTCGGCTTGTACTGGGTCCAGGCTCTGGGTCATGACGAGAATCAGTTCTAGTAGTCGCTGCATAACTTCACCCATCGATTTTTTGATGTAGTGCTCCTCAACGCAGGAAACTGTAGACTCCTCCAACGGTACTTCTCGTAGATTCGTAGAGATAGTCGACTGTCGACGAAACGACTATCAGACGCGGGCGATCGATTTTCGGATCACTCGGTCCGATTCGCCACTGTCCTACCGACTGCGCCAATTATGGAACTAGGTGCCGGAAGGAGGTTTTTAAAAAGGCGATTTGTGTCCTTTTACAAGATTTAATTAATGAAAGTATTACGTAGGTTTGCCTTAAAACTAATTATGCTAATTGACCGGTTCGCTTCAGCGATGAGCGAGAGAGTTCTCTAAAACGTTACATGGATTAACCTTAATTTCGACACTTCACTTTTGGGAATTTTACTAATGATTCACTGGTCTTTCACAATCACTGTTGGTATGCGGCGTCACTGTGAAGGGTTAGCACCGGTAACATATATGAAAACAAACCATTAAGTATTTGTTCGTGTCGAAAATAATAAGAAACGCAGAATTGTTCTGCCATTTTCTCTAATTGACTTATTGTACAGATGGATAATAAGTCATATTGTATTAAGATATGCTAACAATAATATGATGTGCTAATAATATATGTTATTGTACATAGCCTCTGAAAGTTCAACAGTTTGTGTTCTCTAATAAAGACTTATTAACAGGAAATGAAACTATTTTTCGGATTTAAAACGCGTATATTTGTTTTTTCAAACATACCAACGTTTCGGACCCTTTATAGTCAACCATGGGAAAACTCGATAAAGACTTATTAAGTAAATTTGAAAAAACTGTCCAATTAGATACTTATGAGCTATTATATACCTTTAGCTCTACATAGTTAAAATTGTTTTAATTCTTCTCCAAGTAAAATTGTTTTTTTTTTTCAAGGAATCTTTGCAGATAGAAGAATGCGAAGAGGAGGAAATCATAATCGATAGCGACGGCGAAGGGGACGAGAATGGAGCTGCATGTGCCGACCGTAGTGTAACGCCAATGCCCATACAGGACTTTGCTGCTAATACAGTCTATACTGAAGGTCAGTACAATTAGGGTTCAACATTGATAAGGAACGTTTATATGGTGTAGTTTGGTTTTCAAATCCCAGATGTAAGATAATACAGGGTCCGCCATCTAACGTTTTTTTTTTCAACTAGTGCTTATTTCGTGAATAGTAACACTTAGCTCATGTTTGATTTGACAGATAATTAGTTTTATCCTTCCGCTGAACGAATATGGTTGTGTATACGCTTGAACAACGCTGGGAAATATTGCGACATTACTTTGAAAATCATGGTAATATTGCAGAATGTGTGAGAAAATTGCGTACGGATTTTGGAAGAAGAGAAGCACCGTCAGCTCCGTATGTTCGTTATCTTGTGAAAAAAGTGAAAGAAACTGGCATCCTCATCGATAAACCAATGCGTGAAAAGCCCAAAACAGTGCGTACACCCGAGAATATTGCTGCTGTGGCAGAAAGTGTGCGTGAAGCGCCATCAACATCAATTCACCGTCGTTCTCAACAATTGAACATTTCGGAGACATCATTGAGACGAATTTTGCATAAAGACCTTGGTATGACGCCATACAAAGTCCAATTGGTTCAGGAGTTGAAGCCAACTGACCATCCAATGCGTTTTCGCTTCGCTACGTGGGCCTGCGATCGACTTACAGAAGATGCCGATTTTGCAAAAAAAATCATCTTTTCAGATGAAGCTCATTTTGATCTTGGCGGGTATGTAAACAAGCAAAATTGTCGCATTTGGGGCACAGAAAACCCGCACGCATACATTGAAAAGCCGACGCACCCAAAACGAGTCACTGTTTGGTGCGGATTTTGGTCCAGAGGCATAACTGGGCCATTTTTCTTCGAAAATGAGCAAGGAGTGGCCATTACAGTCAATGGCGATCGTTATCGGGCCATGTTGAACGAATTTTTGTTCACAAAAATTGAAGAGGAGGATATTGGCAACATTTGGTTTCAACAGGACGGCGCTACGTGCCACACAGCCGAAGCTACACTCAATGTTTTGCGCCCTGTTTTTGAAGATCGCATTATCAGCCGCAGAGCTGATGACGTTTGGCCACCTCGGAGCTGCGATTTGACACCGTTGGACTATTATTTGTGGGGTGCCGTCAAAGATAAGTGTTACGCCGACAAGCCAGAGACAATTGACGCTTTAAAGGACAATATTCGTGAAGCCATTGGTGAAATACAGCTGCACACAATCGATAATGTGCTTAAAAATTGGACCGATCGTGTAGGCTACTGCATGGCCAGCCGAGGCAGCCATTTGAATGAAATTATTTTTCATTATTAACCGGAAGGATTGTACTTTCAAATAAAAAAAGAAATTTGAGAAAATATTCAGTAGTTTTTTTTTTAATTTCATTTAAAAAAAAAAGTAATTTGGCGGACCCGTTAGAATGCATCCAGAATTGCGTTGGCCACATAATGGAGCTTTCCTCTAATCCTAAGGCTTAAGCGTGACTTAGAATTAGACCTCTATGATAAATATGTGAATTTGATGAATAGAAAATGAAGTACCTACTGACATACATCTTTACATACGTACCTTTGAACGCGCATTATCAACATTTTATGATTATCAACATTTTATGATCTCATTCTGACCTCTGATTATTGTCGAAGACAAAGAAAAACTTGAACTATAAAATGTCAAAGGAAATTCTATTATGATGAGTTATTAAGTACTTAGAATAACAATTTAGTTCAGCAATTACAGTAACAAAAGTTAAAGTGCACCTTTAATGTAAGTATGCATACTTATGTCATCCCGATACTATATAGCTTTAATACAAGACAATGGATTAAGAAAATCGATATAAGACATGTGACTGTTAGGTTACGTCGCTTATTAGATTATCCAATAGGTGCTATTGAAAATTATTCCACTACGGTCTGTTTACTTGAGAATACGCTCTTGAGTATCTACCCACTTGAGAATCAATCCAATGCTTTGGAGAGTTATAGATACATAAAGCCTGTGACACGGATGCAATGATCAGCAACTGTGTTTTCCGCTGAAATAATATAAAATGAGATCCTGTTTGGATTACTAAGCCAAGGCAATTAGGTTTATTGTAACACAATAAACCTAATATAGTTGTAATATAGTTGTAACACAATAAACCTAATATACGGTATACAATTATTTATTACGCTAATGATACTGCCGTTCTAGGTATAAGCACTACCGTCGTAGGTACTTGTTTGGGACAGATTCCGAGTAATACGCGCATAAATTGTAAATCACGTTAGGGCGCATTTATTCGATACGAATTTCATTATGCAACTTATAGGTACTCATTATGCTGTATTACCTCAATATGCTCAGAAAGTTACCGGCTGAGTGAGAAGGTTCATAAATCTCCCACAGATGTCGCTTATGGTGTCGAAAACCGAAAAAACTCAATAGATACAAAGATCTACATAGAAAATTTTCGCCGAAGCAAGAAAACGTGCTTATAAATCACCCTCATGTAAAAGTCAAACCTCACGTAATTTACTGTTTTTAAATCATATAGATATCCTTTGTAAAATTTCCTTAGTAAAATTTAAATAATAATAAGTATAATTCTTGTTTTTATGTATTGTTCTTTATGTAATTATCACTCAGATATATAGGCCCTTTTGGGACGAGTGTTGTCTGGATTATTAGGAAGTGTTTTATAAGCACTGATTGTACTTTATACATCATTTTATTCCTTTATCGTTACAGCATTTACGTTTCTACTTGTAAATAAATTATGTGGATCGAGACTTTCTTTTACTTTCTCTAAGGTTAGGTCACACGTTGATTATTAAACGGCCTTGTATAGAGGAAACCTACATCATCCAGTTTAATATTAGTACTTTTTTTTCAGGACCACATACCATGGACTTCTTAAAAGTGAAGTCTCTAGAACAAGATTGCATCACGGATATTTCCGATGCGGAAACAGAAGGCGAGGAAGAATAATGAACGCCATCAATATAGACCTCTACGAAATAAATTATCCATAACGAGTAAAAAATAAAAACTGTATTTCCGTGGGTATAGTTTAACTAGGGTATAGATATATGGGACCTAAACGTATGGCGTTAGAAATACATAGATAGAACTTAGAATTAAACGTTGATTGAGATGAAGGAATCGCTAAATTATTCGTATTGTAGATAAACGGTTTATACGGGATGACTTTGATGAAGACTTTTAGAGCCAGTGCAAACACATCATCAACCCATTACGCGTCCCACACACGGGGGTTTGGACTATGGTCCGCCAAGCTAGGCCATTGCTATTTGGGGACGACGCATTTACAGTCCAATAATTTCCACAGTGTTTAAAGTGTAGTATCGATTAATAGAGTACATGATATTTTAAAAATAATGTTTTAGTATGGCTGCGTTAGAGAGGTATATCATTTTTTCTTATGATGTCAAGTGACAGGACGAACAAGTCATGGGCCTGGTGGTAAGCGACACGCCTATCCATAGCAACTGCAATGCTACTCAGAGTTTTATATCGCAAAGATCTGAGGGGCACTGCCTCTGCGCCCGCCACCCTGAAACATAAGTTGACAAGTCCCATCCCCCTTACCCTTCAAAACCGGAATGTAATAATACTCACATTATTGGTTGGCGGCAGAAATAGGTAAGGTGGCAATACTTCCCTAAACGAATCTTTTCAAAAGAGCTCTAATGCTACTATCAATGTTATTGCTATCTCTATCAGTCATGACGCTTGTGTGACCGAGATCTGTCTCAGTCACACAAACGTCATGACTTCATGGTCGTTTGGAAAAAAAACGTAATTGCAAGTAATTTTTGTATTTCGTAGTTTGTTATATTTATTCAAATTATGTAGTAAATTTATTATTTTTTTATTATATTAATTAAATTGATAATGTTTTATTGACTGAATGAAGTTGGAATATTTTGAACGAAATTAAATTTTTGAACCAACGAACCACAACATTAGTAGATTAGTTACTATTCAAATTGGAATCGAATTTCTTCGTACAGAGCGAATGGCTAAACTGTCTCAAACACTATTGTAATTATGGAAAGCTAGTCATACAATACAGAGGCGACTGTTTCCTGTTCAGCTGCCTTTAAACTTTTTAATAAATAGTACCTACACCGAGCGCAGAAATTACCTTATCGAGTCATCCCGATTATCCAAGGGTTCGTTAATGTTAATCGTTTATTCAGTTATTTATAATATAAATCAAAATATGCATTATTTTTAATAGAGTCTAATTTGATCTGGTAAGAACGTTGTTATTTTATTAATCTCCTCATTTATTTAAAAACCTATTTACTTAATTGTACTTCATTAGAAACACTACGTACTTTGCTTATACAACCGTTGTTTACTAATGGTTAACTAACGACACTCATTGCCATATTTAGAGGACCGCTAAAAATGGTAGAAATGTGAGAACAATGTTTACTGTCCACAAATCGCTATCTCCAATGAATATTACACCAACTAAATTTTTGGTCATTTTCTGTTTTTAATTTTAAACGCCCTTATTTATTTACTAATATAAAGGTCCTCAAATTTTGTGAAAAAAAAAGAAACAAAACAAATTAAGTTGGCGTAGTATTCATTGGAGGCATTGATTGGTAGGTCAATGATTGGAGTTATCGAAATACCAGAACGTGCCAGAACGTATAATTTAAAAAAAGAATGGCTTCAATCGTCTATTGATTTTCGTTAAAAGTTTTAGTATAAAATACACACATCAAAAGTGTCTAGGGATCAAGTGAATATTTTTGAAATAAAAATTATTTAAGCAATATTTACCAAATCCAGTCTTCCAGGACGACTTCTTACTTTAATGCTTATGTTTTATTTAACCGTTTACCCCTATATTTAATTAAAATAAACTAAAATTGATGTTTTTGCAAATTGTGGGAAAAAACTCAAATTAACGGCGTCAATGAAATGACAAAAAAATGGCGAAAATCATGATTTTGCTCATTTTTATTGTAAAGATAAGAAAATTAATAATCTGTATTTCCACCATTAACACGAATCACACAATTACAGCGATTTGGCATGCTTAAGATGAGTTCATCAAAATCACTTTGAGGAATGGCCGCCAAAATATTGTTGTAGAGTATGTACGGTATGCATACTCGGCACAGCTCTTCTTTGAAGCATATCCCATGCGTGCTCAATTGGATTGAGGTCTGGCGATTGAGCAGGCCACGGCAGAACGTTGATACGAGCTTCGGCAAGAATGCGTGTTACGACTCTAGCCGTGTGTGGACGTGCGTTGTCATGCATTAGTTGAAATGAATCACCCAACTGGCCTCGCAAAGGGATGATAACATCTGAAACAATCCTCTCTGCGTAAACTTGAGCATTGAGGTTACCCCTGATCCAAATGAGATCGGTTCTTCCGCCGATCCAAATACCGGCCCATATCATTATTGTTCCCCCACCATATGGATGAACTTCCTGACAATATCTCAAACGTTCATGACGTCCAGATGTTCTCCAAACTCGAGTACGTCTTGTATCCGGTCTCATACCGAAGCGGGATTCATCCGAAAAGCACACATAGCGCCAGTCTTCTTCCTCCCAGTTTCTGTGTTCGCGAGCCCATCGTAAACGGGTCCTGCGATTGCAGGGTGCAATAGGTGGAACTCTGAGCGGCCTTCGGGATCGCAGACCCACTTCACGTAAACGATTTCGGATTGTTTGATCGCTTATTAGCAAGCCTGAGGAGCTGTGGAGCCTCGTAACCAACATCATGGCGGTCATGGTACGATTCCGTCGAGCAGTATTTTGGATATACCGGTCCTGTCTGCGAGTCGTGATGCGAGATCGTCCTCCATGTCGCTCGGCCACGCTGCCCGTCATGCGATAGCGCGTCCAGAGGCGACTTATGACGCTCTGTGTAGTGTTAAGAGTGAAAGCCACAGCACGTTGCCTGGAACCAGCTTCCAACATTCCGACGGCTCGCATCATCACTTCTCGGGTTAAATGATGTCGTCTCTCCATAATAATGTAAATTGTTTCGGTTCCGATGCAGATATTGTAATGATTTTGTCAAAACGCTATAACTCATTTTTATATAAAACCACATTGACAATCGATTTTCTTCTTATTATCGAATTTTAAACAATATTCCTTATTTAAATGTTAAAACTCACTAAAAACTATCAATAGCGATACAAAAAAGTTAATATAATTAACCCTAATTGCAGCAATACTCTTAAACGTACTTGATCCCTAGACACTTTTGATGTGTGTATTTATGTGGGCAGTGCAAGTGGCATAAATGAACCTTGTTATCATAATTCAACCTTTTTTAGCATTCGTCTAAATATATCCTGATATATATTGAGTACAGTTTGCGAAATTTTTAAACTTTTGGGAAACACATATAAAGTCAGAATTGAAGACAAGCGTCACCTTTTTACAAAATCGGATCTAGAGAGAGCAAACCGCGGTACCAGGCTAGGCCAGTTATTATGGACGCGGCGGGCATTCGTCTGTACTTTTGAATCGCTTCACTTACGACCTTTGCCATCTCATGGGCTGTATTTTGGTCGCTAAAGTGACAATAAAACATGTTGAATGATCAATCAATCAAAATTTCTCTTTTTTTTTTAAATTGTTTCAGCTTTAATCATCCGTGTCTTTACTGTTATTAACCGAAAGCGAAAAATGTTTGCAATTTTTTTTCTATGAAGAAGACGGATCATGTAGTTATGATAAATAAATAACAAAAAGGCTGTATATTCAAAAAGCCCACTTATTAGACAAATTGCGCTGAGACTTTATTTAACAAAGGTTAACTTCTTCTATGTTACATCTAATTATAAACTGGCCGCCTCTAGTACGGAAAGGATAAGAATAATCACTTCACCTATTTCTGCCGCCAGTTAGTTAGGTACCAGTAAGGGTGCAGGTGAAAATACAGGCAAATGGGTTTATCAACTTAAGTCTAAATCTTTATTAAATATTATTATAAAATAGGACTGAACATCCTGGAAAAGTCAGAGAAAGCTATAAATTTGCCTACTCCAGCTGTATGTTATAGATAGGGACAATGAAAATTACTCAAGTATTGGATAAACTTTGCTCGCTCAGATTGCTTACGTCTTTTAGATCCATCATGCAGGACTATTCTTAGTTTGCGTCTCATAGACTAGTATGTCTACAGACGAGTGTCTGAAATTGGACTAATCAAGTAAACAGTTGCCATGTAATCGGTTCTAGCCGTAAAAATTTAGTCGATTTAGTCGCTCGGTAGTTCAAGATATAAGGGTGTTTTACTGTGCATGCTACAATAAGTTTATTCCAGCAGCGGCATTCCTCAATCAAATTGAGACCAGCACCTAGCTTAGATCCGATTTCACTAAAAAAATGTCATGATTTACCTAATCGGTTCTAATAATCTTATTCCGCCGTGGACAAGGCAAAATTTATATTGCGTCGGAACGGAACGGAAGCGAATTTTTCTAACGTACGAGTAACGTACAAACTAAATACGAGCCAAAATCTTCCGCGAAATGCGCGAGAATTCCGCGGAAGATTTTGGCTCGTATTTGGTTTTATTATGCTATGAACAATATCGTTACAAAAATTCGCTTCCATTCCGTTCCGCGGCAATATAATTTGAGCCTAAAACACCACCATAACTTTAAAACGACGGACTGACCAAATCTAGTTTTTTGCGGCTTGAAAGGACTGAATTTTCGCAATTGTTACACTTAGGAAATGAACTATTTTTTCGAATCTAGTTCTGAAGCTAAACAAACAAGGCTTGTACGCGATTTAGATCCGAAAAAACAGTTTCATGTCCTTAATGACGATATTTTACCTGGCAAACCAAGTTTCAAACGTTCCCATGTTAACGCTGGAATAAGGAAGTCTTCTAGTTTTCGTATAAAATACGGAAATGTTCAGGGTTTGCTACTACGCCCGACGTTATCGGTCATATTCTAGTTTTGTTGAAGATTGCAAAAAAAACCTTTCACCCGTCATAGTCATGTAGCCCTTACAGAATTCGTCACAGTTTTATTTAAATTTGCTTTTTGTTACAATTAATAAATGCTGTAGAGGAGGGGCGATAATCCCAAGCTATTGCTTTACTTCGGAAAAATATCCGGCGTCGCATGTTCAGGATCAAAAAGAAAAATTCAGTAGCCTCACCAAGACTGCACTTTAATGCACTATTACATAAGGAACTTCAAATACATATACTTTTTTTATATTAGACAGCATCAAATACGTTGCTCTAATCCCAAAGTAACTAAAGCACTATGATATGAAAATCGGAAACAAAGACGGTACCACAAACACCCAAACCCTAAACAATGTAGAAAAGTTCGTTTATCTACATTGACCTGGCCAAACCTTAGAGATGGTGACCCCATGTAAACCGGTGTGCAAGTCACTCGACCACGGCCGTCGTCAAAATTCTAGCAAGGAAAAAAGTAAACACAAGAGGCTTAAAGTGTTTTCAATATTTTATTGCACATGATCAGGATACAAATCATCATAGACGAGTTAAAAGATAATATTTCCGGAACATACATTATCAAATTTACAGAAGTACTATAATCATTCTACTTCTTATTTATAAAACTGCTCCACAGTTTATTACAAAAACATTTTCTATTTACATTTTATTGTTTAAGTAAGGTTTCACGCTTTAAATTCATGAATACCATTCAGTTCTAAGTTTATGTGAGATCGGAACGTCAATGTCAGACAGATATATGAAGATTTTAGAGAATTCATACATGCCAAGTATGCTATACTTCGTTTTTTTTAGGTATTAGGCAGAAGCAAATTTTAGATGTTTTATCAGGCGTCATTTCATTCCGTCATTTTGTAGGCAAAGCAATGTAATATAAATATACCGTGAAACGAAAGTTTTCAAACACATTCACAAAATTTATGTAATTATATTATTATTAAAGATTGAAAACTTTTGTCTTTACATACTCTGTCTACTTTCAAAAACGTGCACTATCAAAACTTAAAGAAACAAGGTTACGAACATTTAGAAGGAAACTTTTTATAATAGTATCTTATCGAGTTATTTATAAATGCCATTAAAATTTGTTAGTTGGTCAATGGCCGTTTGTTATCAATTCTCGTGATGTTTTCTTTAATGTAATTTATTGTCAGATGAAAAAGGTTTATGATCACTGCTTCTTTGTTTACGTTTTTTCTAATTCCAAAAAAAAAAACGAACTATATGACTTAGTCTCGCGTTATAGCGTTCCGTATTCCCGTTTGGCATTCCATGTAACGTGCGTATGAAGGTATGACATACACAGAAGGCGTACCAATCGGGCAGGTCAACTATATTGAATTTAGCAAACAGGAGTGAGCACGAAAACGCGTAGAACACATGATCGCCGACTATCTAATGGTTATATTATAAATGTCATACGTTTTAGCATTAACATAGTGTAATAAGACGAGTAGTGTAACTCTATGCAAGGCTTGTATGTAGGCACACCTGCAGCGCACCCCATGCGCTATTCTTCATTGTGTCAAATCTATAATATTTTTATTTATAAATGTATCGTTATGTATATACAAACAAGCATTTCATTTCTATTTCATGATCGTATTCTTATAATTGACATACTAATCCACGATACGATTAAAATATCAATATGTAAATAGGTACTGCATATATAAAAAGGTTATTTCAATATAGCACGAGGCTACTGTGATGAATTTATTTTTTTAAGTTAAATTATGTTTTGCAACCTGTAGGTACAACTAAAATAATGTTACAAGCCTACGCTATGAGCGACATGTAGGCGTACACGCCGGAAGAAACACTGCTTGTCTTATTTATACTATGCCATTGATTTGTTGCAAAAGTAAACCGCCTTCGCTATAAGATACCTTTAGCAGAGGATATTTTATTTCGGGGCGGTCTTCACCAGGCTGTTTTGCGCCTCATTTCAAACATCAACGACAACTTTACAGGAAAAATTCAACCTTAAATTAACCCGAGACGGATTAACAGTTTATGTATTAGTATAAGGCTAAGGGCGCCTTCAAACTAGATGCTTGTAGAAGCGCTGCAGCGGCGCTACTGTGGCGCTGCAGCCTCGCGACTACTAATTTTCATATGTCATAGTCGAATAATAAAAAGAAATGAAACTAGACTAGACAGTCAACCGTATATACACCATTATGACATTAAGGGTCGTATTCTAGAACTCTACTCAATGCTCAAGTCAGGATTTGAGTATGGTTTAAAGCACTCGAAATCACACTCAAGTCCCTGCCATTAAGGTCATATTTCCAGTGCTTGTGTTTCCAGTGCAATCCTGACTTGAGCATTCAGTAGAGTTCTGGAATACGACCCTAAGAGTCAAAATACGGCTTGACAACCTGTTTCGTCTACTATATCTTGCCTGTGTATTTTTTATCATTAGCCCTTGTAACCTTGATAGATAAAAGAAACGAAAAAGATTTTAATAATTATTAATACAAAGATCGAAACACATAGACAAAATCCTTCGATCTGACAGGACCAACTACTAACTGAGCAATAGATTGAGTCAGCAGAGCTTACGAATATCTATGCGTTTGTTACAGATTTTTCTTTTTGGTTTTAACGGCTTGAGAAATCTATGAGTTTTTTCTTCACTCAACCAGATCCCTTCCAGTTACCGGAGGTTAACAAAATATGTCGCTTTTTGAAATTGTAATATTGATTGTATTAAATACCATGACGTTACCATGAAACATCATGGTATTTAATAAAATCAATATTACGTGTAAGTGATGAAAAAGGAGAATGATTACCGAATTAAGTACCATCGTGATGAACCCCTTATAAATCTCACTACTGGATACGGTCTAGTCTAGGGTTTGTGTGAGACTTCACACGTTTCCCAAGGCTTGTGAACTGTGTGTATTCCATATGTAACTTTCTTCCTTCACCATTAGGCTGCTAACAGATTGACTACATATTTGAAGTTAATGCGTGAAGTCATTATCAATTTCACGCATTAACTGCATGTAGTCGATCGCGGCTGCACGAAGTTGGTTTCGACTTCATGCAGCCGCGAGAGGTAATCATACTATTCACAAATGTAGATAACTTAGAAATAAACATCGTTTAGGATATGCCGCCACAGGGATTCGAACCGTAGACTTCTCAATTGAAAAGCTGAATTGAGTACACCAATGATGAAACAAGAAACAACTAACTAGTTTTTGGTAGACGAAACGGGATCAAGCACAAAGAACAAAGGTAAAACCGAAAATATAACTATACTTAAACTATATTACACCAATTTTATGATTGGAAAATGTCTATGTACAGAGAAATCAAACTCGGGTGGCACCGTCGAGTCCCTTTTGTGTCCACCGGCTAATAATTTTAAAACTACGAAATTTGTTTTGGCTATCTTTAGGAGATCTTGTACCTGAAAATAAAGAGGAGCAACATGTATATTAAAAAAAAATAGTGCCACCATCTAATCATTACGTACATTATGCTTTGTTTGTCCAGGAATATGGACGTCGTTAATCAATGGATGGCGCTAGCATTTTTTTGCGTTACAAATTTCAGATAATTTTTCAGAGCCCAAAGGCCTTTTTGAAATGTACTTTAAAACATGTTTAAATAAAAACATGAACCCAGAAAGCCAGTAAAAAGCATGAAGTTGGAGATAAGTGTACGTATAAAAATACTTCCCGCGTTAGCCACCAGTTGTCTTATGAGGTGATGACTCTATACCCGTATGTATAAGGTAGTTAGTTTTTGGTTAGCCTCTACATAGTCCCACTGTTGGACACAGGCCTCCTCTTACAATGAGAGGGTTTGGGCTGTGATTACCACACGGTCCCAATGCGGGTTAGGAACTTCACACACAAAATTAAATTGCTTTGCACACGTGTGCAGGTTTCCTCACGCTTTTTTTCTTCACCGAAAATAAATTCCGTAAAATTCAAGAGGTGCAAGGCCGGATTCAAACCCACGACCCTGTACTTGAGAGGTGGTAGGTCAAACTATTCGGCTACCACGGTATACTGGGTTATTTTTAAAATAATAGCAACCTAGCAGGACCGGACTTTTTTGTACAATCTGACACTTTTTAGATCTGCTAGCCCACCCTCGTTCTCTTTTCGAAACAATTACTGTCAAATAAGTAATACTCGACCAAATAAAAGACGCATGATGCGAATGAAGCTTCATACTTGAAATTGTTTTTATCATTGCCGGAGAACAAGAGTTAAATTTACTACCATGTTACCAAATACAGAGAGTATTTGGTAGCATGGTAGTAAATTCAAATGTGCAAGCGTCCTATCCGATGACTCCCGCGTTTTGCACAGAGTTACCACCGTTTGAAGCAATCTGTTCAAATAATGTTATTTTTATATGAAAGTGAAATCTGGCGTGATAAAAGTCATGGAACAAAAGTTGTTGTGTATTATGTTAATAATACAAGTAAAAGTTGTTAGTATTTTACAAATAACCCCGTATAATAGATAGTAAAAAGTTTTTTTTTTTCATAACTATAAACATTTTATGTTTAAAAACAGAAAAAAGGATCAAGAGATTTTCTTTCCATGAATCGCTTACTAACGTTGGACCTTGCATTCCGATGTGACTACGTGATATTATGGAGCAAACATGCTAACAAAACAAACAACATAGCAGAAACATCTCCGGATTTTTACCGTTTCGAACCACGGTTGGCTGAGATGGTAAAGTCATCAACAAACAAACAAACAACCTGTATAGGTCCCGAAACGTTAATTTGTTTAAAGAAACAAAAATACGCGATTTCGATTCGAAAAAAAAGTAATTTCCAATTAACATCGAGTCTATAACCAGAAATAGAGACAAAATAATAAAATAATCCATCCTTGGCAACTCATCAGGTAAATGGGCCTTATATCACTTTTAAATATCAACTCTCGTTTGCGCTGAAATCACAAATTAGAAAAACTGAAATAGTACAGCGCCAACAACTGACCTGTGTGTACGTCTCCGTACATTCGAAAAATATTCTGTATGTATTGTAATAAACATAATATCTCTAACAATGGGGGCTGTTACAATCGGTGGATAATATCTCTAACAATGGGGGCTGTTCCATTCGGTGGTGTGGGAAAAACAGCAAAACATCTAATTACAAAACAAACGGAATAACATTTCATCGGTAATTAAAAATGTAATTTTTCAATTTTCGTCCATTATAGCAATTTAAATTTTTAATTGCTCAATTTAAATTGGTCGATTTGAAGTGAAACAATTGACGACTCCCGTCAATTGTTTCGAACTCGGACTGGCCAATCGGAGCACAGTTATCTCAGTAATGATTTGGCAGAATAGTTTTCAAACAAATTAATTGACTTGATGTCAATTAAAAGCTTTTGTTTAAAGTTTAATGCACAGCATCGTATATAAGCAGATATATGTAAGTCCTCTAAAGGAGTATATATAATAAGAAACAAGCACATTACACACAAGTTGTCAAAATTATATGCACCGTCTGTGGCATGCCAGTTTCATCGCTGTTTGCCTTCACAGCAAGTGGTAATTGTAAACTCAATAGTCCATAACCTGGCTTTATTTGGGTTTTAAAATTTCAGGTACACAAGCAAAAACAAAAATACACTATAAAACCTTACCTCTTGATCGGGTGTTGTAATAGTTTCTAAAAGAGACCGAGCCTGCTGAAAGTGTTTGCAGCCGCCAAGGTATAATATCACAGGGTTTTCGTACCTGGCATATAATAAGAAAGTTAGTAAAGTTACAATTAATTTGAAAATATTAAAATCCCTACTCGTTCGATATTCCCTTCAGGCGTACTAAGCACATTTAGTCATTTATTCCGAGCACATACAGCCCAAGTATCATCTACTATTGTATAAGTTGAAAAGTCCCATGTGCTTGTAATTTCACCAGTGACATTAATTAGAGGATAAACTCTTTCACAAGGAACTCTACTTAGTAGTAGCGCATGCAATGTAAAAATTTAAAATGTGACAGTCCTGCATGTAATGGACTACAAGAACTATGCACATCCGTAATTTCTCTCATGCGAAAAGGTTTTCGCATTTTATTTATATACATATATGTATATGGCTCTTATAACGTAGTTTGATTTGACGCGCGCAAATTTAACTACATTTGATCTTAGTCTAATGAAGGAAATATACTAGTTTTATACTTACTGTAACGGCTGCGTCATTTCGCAGAATTCGTGATAATGAACTTGAGGTGGTGTCAACACCGACAATGGGGCGAAACGGTGCTTGTACCGCACGGCTTCGTTGTCAAATTCCGATTGGGGCTGCCTGATTTTGCCCTGTAGTTTGAATGCCACTAACGCCTGAAACCACATAAAAAAACAAAAAAGTTCAAAAAGTTGCTCTACAGTAAATAAATAAAAAAGAAAAAACCATAGGTCATTAAGTAAGACTGCTTTTCTAAACGCTTACCACTTTAGCAGAAAATGTTCGCTCTGTATAATATATATTGGAAAATCGAATAATATTTTATAGTATAAGGAAATAGCTTTATAAAGAGCCGTATCCTTTACATCATAGAACGCGTTGTTTGCCGTGGGACATTAACGTAAGGTGCCTATCTGTGTAAATCTAGGCTGAATTATGATGTAAACTTTTTATTGATGATAAAGTACCGGACTCAATCCCCGGCCGGGTCAATGTAGAAAATTCATTTTTTCTATATTGTCTCGGGTCTGGGTGTTTGACGGTGCCGTCGTTGTTTCCGATTTCCATAACACAAGGTATTTTAATTACTTACTCTGGGAACAGAGCAACGTATGTATGTTGTCTTATATTTATTTATTTACTTCTATGACATCACAGATTATATAGGCGGTAGTAAACATTTAGCATCAAGTCAACATTCTCATTATTTACAGTTTTACATCATACAAATTACAGTCACTTCCACTCCAAGCTCCTTTATTATTAAGAAACTCTCAAATAGGTAAACTTTTAATTATAGTTTGTCGCACCATTTATTTTATTTTGACATAAGCATGCGTATGAAGTTTAATAATTACTGATAGAAGACCGTAGACAAAAAAATTCAACAATTCTCTGGACGCTGATTTTTTCTTTACTGTAGTGAAGCAACGTACACTTTAGCTCCGATATTTTATCGCGCAAACAGATTATGTAAAGATAATTTTTATTTGATTTCTCCATTGTATAGCAGTATACCACGGAACTGTCTAATAAATTATAACCAAAATTAATAAATTAAAAAATGTTTATAATAAATTCTAATTGTTTATTACAATCAATTCTTCTCTATATGAACTGGAATCATCACTTGAATCCACTGTAATATTAATAATGAATTCATTGTGAATGTGAACCCGCTCACATTCACGATTAAAACTTCTTCATTAATAAAGTCGATTGTAATAAGAAATCGAATCGGTGACGCATTAGGACGTCACTAATGATTAGTACTCAAGCTGTAAAAGTAAAAAAATAAATGGTCTGCCGGAGTATAAAAAAAACCATTACGGTCTTCAAATACAGTGCATGTTTAAAAATATATCCGGTAATTCAAATACAGAATGTATCTAAACAGATCTAAACAGTTAATATAAACATTTAATTGCGGTTGCAAGGTCACAGGCGGGAAAGGAATAACATACTTAACTTTGAGTAAACTAATATAAAACTAATAAAAACCAAATGTTTTGAGCTCTAAGAAGAACACATAAAGTCTTATAGGAATTTTGAAGTACACTAAACTTGCCGTTGTTAATCATCTTTACATGTTTTTACAATTATTTTGCTAAATTCAATAATTACGATATAAGAGGAACAGTACATCGTATAGGTACCTCGTGTTCTCAAGATTTCGCAATAAAATTGTCAAGATTGGATTTTTCCGCCATTTGGATTTGGAGCACCGTAGCGACATCTCTATAAAATAATTTAAACTAATTTATCTGTTTTATCAACTGAAAGACTATTAGTGCTAAACTCTTTAAATTATGTGAAGGCTTCAAGTAGCGACGGGACGAGTTGTATTTTTTTCAGCTCGAATTACTCGAATTGACTCGACCTGGTGTCTGACAGAGCAATCGCAAATCACGAGTAGCGAGAGCGATGCGGCGTATATTCATATTAATAATAATAATAACGCACACACTCAACATAGCCCCGCACCAGGGAAACCCTGTGTCGCGGGTGCCATGGACACACACATAAACAACCACAAATTACACCCAAACTCACGATAGAAATAAATGTAGGCCATACAAATATTTCTCCCGACCCGGGAATAGAACCTGAGACCTCTGCGTGGCAGTCCGGCATGGTAACCGTTCGGCCACGGAGGCAGTTATTCACCGAGTTGGGCCTATCGGCCAGCAGACTGCGTCTTGAGCGTGTGAGAACGAGTAGCCGAAGCCGCTGTATGAATGAAGTATTCGCGCGGGTTACGCACCAAGCTAGCTCGAGTTCATAAAAAAGTACTCGAATTGACTAGTGAGAGTAAATAAATAGAGTTAAATAACTCGACTCGCCCATTGCTAGCTTCAAGTCCCTATTCCCCCGGTGTTCCTCTTACCCCCATCTGACCTTAATTTTATATTGCCAAATAATATATAAGAATAAAGTAGGGTGACAATGAAATCGTTAACTCAAGTGAAACGTATAAGCTTAGACTTTAAAAAACAATACTTTTTATAGGACACTAACTTTGTAATACCCTCCACACATATTCTGCAAGATTTGGCACATCAGTCCTTCCCTGGCGTAGGGTCTGGTGCGTTTCTTTTGTTTCTTAACGCCGCTACGTTTGGAATCACCTCGCTTGGCGCCCTCACCCGCCAGACCTTCCGCGCGGCCCAATGCCGATATTAGCCACCCGTACAGAAATTCGTATAAATACCTGGAAGTTAAGCAAATAATTAAACAAATTACATTACAATATATTATATAATTATTACTAGACAAAAGGCAATAGGGAACCGAAAGGTATATGTTTAGTCACCTGATAACGTCACTATAGTGTTGGAAACATAACGAATCACAATAAAACACCGACAATAGAATACACACTTAGTTTATTCGTAAGGCCTACGTATTATGGTATGTTAACATCAAAAGCCGCGCGGTCGGAGCGCGGCGGGCGGAACTCTATACAACACGTACAAACGCTGGGTCGCGGACGCGCGAACTGCACGTAGGCGGAGATCTGTCGCTGGCGCACGCCGCGGTGCGCATGCGTAGTGAGTGTATCATGGCTTGTGTAGTGGCTGCGCGCAAACGTGTCCTTATAATAGTTTTTTAGAAGCATTATAGAAGGAAAGAGAGGCAGAGGAAGACCGAGATGAAGTTATTTAGACCAGATAAGGGAAAAAGTCAATGTCGTGTCGTATCAGGGATTCATAATTAGGCCGTTGAACAATGATGGTTGGTGATTGCTCCACTGACAAAACCTGGCTCTCAAATAAGAAGATTCGTAATACTCCAATATCAATTTAATTTAGTATAAAATGATTATGAAGAAATTCATCAACATTCGTTGTTGTTTACGTTTGCAATTATTTATTATATAATTAAATAGTTTCTACATAAGTTTTTTAGCAGAAGAATAGTCGAGAATTTATAACGTTTTTGTGACTAATTTTGTATATGTGATGGATGTGTTTCAGTGAATTGATTTTGAACTGAAACAAATACATCATTAACATGACAATAATATTTTACAATGTGACATTAGTAGCTGTAAGTTTTGTCTAGCTAATCAAAAATTCTCCTTTAGATAAAAAAAAATAGTGAAGCATAACGCTTTTAGTTATCGCACAGGGAAATTTGAGTAATATGTCAATAGTATGTTAAAAAACGCTTATCAGTGATAGACCACACGTCACGTTACAATGTCTGAAATGTGTGAATGTGATGTACGGACAACGGCACATCAGGCTACACGTTTTTGTTCGAAAATCGCCTCCAGTGCAACGGAACAAGTTACGTCAATGCGCACCTAGATGTGCTGGTGCGTGTACAATACACTAAACCCCACTCCATACAAAACCAATCCTTCGAAACTTGTGCCTAGTCAATGTATAGGGCTTTTTCTCTCTTTATTTTTAATGTAAAAGGGTTTGTTCACGCAGTGAATATGCCACCGCACTAGGGAAACCCTGTATCGCGGGTGCCGTGGATACACATATAGACAACCACAAATTACACCCATTCACGAGAGAAATAAATGTAGGCCATACAAATATTTCTCTCGGCCCGGGAATCGAATCCGGGACCTCTGCGTGGCAGTCCAGCATGGTAACCATTCGGCCACCGAGGCAGTAGTCGTTCTACGTTACATTGTTATCTTCTACTAATACATTTGGCTACTAATTTATATTGCACGTTAACCTCGTCCGATGTGGGTGATAACGGAAAGGATAATGTTAACGTATAGGGCTTGAAATAGAATACCAACCAAAATATATAATGATACTCGTGCACGCTGTAAAGCTCCAACTCTAGCCCCGAAAGAAGGTACGCGATCATGACGCGTAATACGTGGTACAGGATCCAGGTGCCGAAGCAAGCGCGCGGCGGAGTGCCCGCAGCGCCACTCACCACTGCGTCCACACTCTCCGCCTGGACAAAATTTACATGGCAATATGTAAGTACCAGTTACATTAAATGAGTGTTTACCAATGATATTTATCCATAGTTGGGGAAGCCCCTGGCAAAGTCGCTATCAGTTGCACAATACATTTCATTTTGCTTTGAAACGGGGCCATCCGCTTACTGTTTATTGAAAAACAAATTAAGTATAAGAAAAAATACAGTCGAGCTGAAATTACTGATACTATGTACTTTTCCTTGCGGAAAAGCAAAGATGATTAGACCATGCCGCCTAGTCTTTTTAATATTTTTAAAATATATATATTATGGTAACCACAGTAACTGTTTTATTCATATTATACGCACTCTGTTATTGTGTAGTCAGAACACTCTGTTGCTTATTAATCTATGATATTAAAGTGTTGTGTATAGAACACCGCATCATAGATTTCGTTGGTAATAAGAGTCATCTTTGATGACGTCATTTCAAGTAATCAAGGCCATTGCATAAAAAGACAAGTAAGGTAATTCCTTACAAAAGTAGCAGCGAGGTTTGTGTGTCGCACACGCCATTTGTCATAGAATTAAAGTAATCGCTCGGTGTTTAAAAAATTACTTCAAATTGTTGACATGTTTACTGTTGTGTATATGGTTGTATGAGCAAGGGTGTCTCAAATTTAGAACTGATGCTGCCATATTACATGTAATGATTGGATGGAACACCTAACTAGCACCAAAGATAGTGTATATAATATTTGGGTCGTAATGCTGAAAAACGAATTTCTTATAATACATAATAAATTCAAAAATCAATTGTTTACACCGTTTGTAGGTCAAGACATAACAAATAATGATCTGACTGTTTGTTGTTATCTGGTAACTTTAAGGCATATTGTATCAGGTATGGTGTGTTCAAATATAAATAATTGTATAAAATGTGTACCTCCTCTTGAAGCGCAGCAAATTCGTCAAGCAACAAAGCCAGTTTGTCCCTTTGCCGCGCGCGGTTGTGTCCACAAACTTGAAGTAGCACCGCAAATGGCCTCACGCAGCGAGATAGGAAGTTTTCTACGAACTCGCGAGCCTACAATAAAAAGAAAAAAAAAAAAAGGACGTAATGAGAAAACATCTGCTTTTTAAAAGAGTAGCTGCGGTAAATCGGGGCCACTACTGATACACTCACGGAAACTAACCCAACAGTTCGCAGTGTGGGCACTAGATGAGGACGTCTCAGGTTCAATTCCGGGTAGGAAATAAACATTAAACTCTAAAATTAATAATAATAACGCACACACTCCTAGCCTCGCACTAGGGAAGCCCTGTACCGGGGGTGCCATGGACACACACATAGACAACCACAAATTACACCCAAACTCACGAGAGAAATAAATATAGGCCATATCTAGTTCTTAGGTTTTCGCGATTGTTACATCTATATGTAACGTTCCTATGAAATGAACCTATTTTTCCGGATTTAAATCGCGTATATTCGTTTTTTTCGTGTAGTAAGTCAATGTCAAACCAAATGTAGGCCATACAAATATTTCTCCCGGCCCGGGAATCGAACCCGAGACCTCTACGTGGCAGACCAGAATGGTAACCGGTCGGCCACGTAGGCAGTTTTAGTTCTAGAATAGTTCTAGAATGGAAGTTCTAGGTAGCGCCCCGGAGTGAATTGCGGTGCTTTTGGTATACATAGCACGGGAATAATTACCATTTATATAAAAAAATTGACTTTATTTAAAATAGAAAAGATTGCTTACAGTATGTCCATACGCGATATTGAATGATACAATTAGTAATCATAAGTACCAGAATGGTATAAGGCGAAATCAGTGGTTATATTTAATACATACATTTTATTTTCCTCGGCAAATGCCGATTCGTCAGTGTTAAAAAAATCAATGTACTGTCTCAAAAATGTATAAAGACGTACACGTCGTCGTCGAAGCGGAAGCCTCTCGTCAGACTTGCGAAGAAATGCGAGAATGACTTACCCCTGCCATGGAACGGTCAGAGACTGACAGGTCGGTGGTGTTAGAATAACTCACTCCGCGGTAGGTGGGCATGAGCGCCGGCGGGTTCACAAAGGCCTTGACAGAGTCGCGCAGCACCTCCAGGAAGGCGTGGTGGGGACGGGGGGACGCAGGCGCGGGGGACCCGCCGGCAGTCGCCGCGCCCGCCGGGGACCCGCTCACGTACAACAGCTGCAGCGCCGACCGCGACAGGATGCACGCGCGCCCCCGGCTGAACTCCATGAAGAAGTCCTGCAACACCACGCACACATTAGCAAACATTTCACTGCAATTTCGCTGATGTTTGCTACATTACTTTCGAGCAAAAGCAAACTATTTAAAATCTTGCTCATCCCATTAAAACATTCAAATCATTAAAGATGCCTGCAGATTTGTTTGGTTTTTTTGACGATCGATACGCGTGAGTACATTTGTAATAAACAGGCGATTGACATCCTATTTTTGTTCGATGAACATGTGTGATCAGACAAAAGCGACTATATGTTGGAAACAGACGATAGATAGCGTATTTTTTGTAATCAACGCGTGTCGATCGTCAAAAAATCGAGCACAACAGTAAATTTGTTTCTAAAAGTTATTATACTTTTTCTAACCGTACTCTAAAAGGAGTTTTCTCAAATATGCTCGGAAATGTTTGTATTACTTTCAAAAAACGAACACGGAAAGTTTGTCCTTTATGGACCGTTTGACTTCTTCCCGGCAAAGGCCTGCAAAGTATATATGAAAATCCATCACTGTCTAGTTCTCTAAACTTTTAAATCTACCTACTAAATGAACTATGTAAACAGGCAAAAGGAAAACTCATACAGCCAACTGCCTAGTGTTCGTAATTGCATCGTCGTATTTTTTAAAAAGGCGGTAAAATAAAGTCATCTAGTACATAAACTCTATAAGTAAAGTGCTTGGGTATTCTTTTGTTCTTTTTTTTTGTCTTTTTTCGTCGCGAAAATAAGTTCTAGTGAGAAGAGCGATAACGAAAATGCCTGCAATACTATGTCAAATATTACTCTTCATTTTAATAAACATTTTATTTACTTTTTCTATTATACATCTTCTTCTCTTTAGTCTTCTATTATTTCCTCACATTGTTTGAGAAAATCACTATAGAAGCCTCGGCGGGAATGGCTGCTTGACTCTTTGGCTATTAAAACAACGAGTATGAGTTACAATATTGTCCCCCCTTAGTTCCCAGCCTCTGCAATAATCTATGTGGCTGGTTTCTAGCAAAGGCACAATATTTTTAACCACTAGAGGCGCTGTGTATTTTATCCATACACATTTTACGCTTTCTCAAGAGGCTTTCACGCTGTGAACTGTACAGATACACTACCAATGCCGTATGGAAGTTGGAGCAAGAAGTAATCTTCCAGGCGTGGCGCAGCCTCGCGACTAGTTCGTCGAAGTAAAGAAGTGCTTCGGCGCGCGGCTTGATGCGCGTGTAACGGGGAAATGTTGGCGGTAATAGGCGCTGATTGATCATCGGTTCGAACCCCATTGGGTTTGGGGAATCCGCTGAAACAATAATAAAGATATCTTGCTAGAAAAATACACCCTATCTACGTAAATAAACAAAAGCACTTGGCATAGTCTAGAAGACACAGGCGAATTTCAGATAGTGTCCATTTAAATTGTACAAACCGGTGTTACATTTTTTGGCCTAGTAAGAGGTCGCATCTATCACGGGTGCAGTCAGTTGGACACAGTGGGTACGAAAGCAGGTGAGACATACTTTGTGCGAAGGATCCGCAAGCACAATGGTTTTGGGTTGGGTTAATATGGCCCCATCACATTCACCACATTTGTCTGTACATCGATCAACTTGTCCTAACATGGTTCACGGATTAATATTGACCACCGCGACCTATGACTGCAACTGACCACCATTTTAATTAAATTCCGTGTAACGAATTTTAGTGCATGCATAATGGCTGTCATCAATTAACGCTATAGTATATCGATGCCTTACTTTCTCAAACTCGTATAAATAGTGATTACTCAGGAGATGGCAATACTTCCTATTTATTTTAAATTTCTTATCAAGGGTTTTGGATGCATTACTTTAAGAATAGGAAAAAGCCAGTGTGTGCATATGAAGGAAATGTGATGTGAAATCAGCCTGCAAAATTTGCATACACAACCCATTTTTTGCATTTCAGTAACTTTGTGCTTTACGATGCGAGTTTGAGAAAGTAAGGCGACGATATTGAATATATTCAACTTCTGAAATTTATTTACATTTATTGCATTATTTATATATATTTATTGTAATCACAACAGAATACGAACTTACAATTTTCCACTGGTTGTGTGCCCCGCGGCGCTGTCTTGATGATGACTTTCATCATCTCAGAACAGCCGTTGAGAAGCGCCACGCAATCGGCTCCTGATTGCGAATCTCGCTTCGTGATCAACAGGAGTGCTTGGTACAACATTCTTGTGAATCTGATACGGGCCGCTAGCGCTCCCCACAAAGTGCTGGCCTAGAAGGTTTTTATTAGTAACAACTTTGACGGACGATGGTCTTAAAAGCAAGTACACCATGCTAATACTTGTTGAATAATAATGATTATAACAATTCACTAACTTGGCATGTGTATTTATAGTAAACAGTACACAATAATCTCAGTACAAAGTATTAAAAAAACCGACCTCAAAAGTTCGTGCAATTATATCTATTTGCCAAGTTATATTGGTCGGTTACCGGAAAGTGAGCGAAAACGGATTCACCTCTAGTTTGCCACCTTTCAAGATGGAATATTTTTATACTATATGGGATCACTATTAAAGTACCCTCTTTCCAACAAAAAAAAAGCATAATCCAAATCGGTTCACAAATGCCGTATCAAATCGCGTAACATACATACAAAAAAAGAGATGAATTGAGAAACTCATCCTTTTTTTGAAGTTGGTTAAAAATAAAATTTTTCTTACGTAGTCATCTGTAGCGCTCCTAACTTTCTTATTAAGCTCCTCCTCCTGCTCACGAAGCATAGCGATGCACTTTTGTTCAGTGACGTCCTGACTAGCGTCGTACGCGTTGCCTGCCTGTGGGTTCGAACCTAAACGATAACCATAGCCCATTGGTTGGAAATCTTCTTCTTCAAACACCTGAGCCCTAAAAAATTGGATAATTAGTTAGCTTTGTTACTAATCCATACAGACACGCACATGAGTTGATAGATACAGCATATTAAAATCACAAAATAAATTCTGTAGGAAAGTGTTGTACATACGTATTTCGTATACGTATTATCATTTAAACATCAATTACACAATAAGACCAAGTAAAACATTTGGCGTTGTGTACGAAGTGAGGTGTTCGTACCAGTTCACTTGGAAATTTATATCTATAATATTTAGTAGCAGTAGAGCTCCTTGTGAAAGAGTTTGTTCAAGGAAGTACTGCCACCTTATCTATTCCTGCAGCCAAACAATAATGTCAGCATTACTGTGTTCCGGTTTTGAAGGGTCAGGGTGCTGGTTTAATTACAAGTACATGGGACATGTCGATTTAAAGAGCTGAATGGCACTGCAACTGTTATGGACAGGCGTGTAGCTTATCATCAGGCGCACGACTTGTTCGTCCCGTCACCTGATTTTATAAAAAAAAAATCTGAATATACTATAAATATTACACAAAATCACTTACTTGTTAATACAATCCCTAATGCAATCGAGCAGCTTATATACAGCAATGCAATAAGCTTTCAATGTCTTGTTCACTATAGAATGTGGTTGATGCAGGTATAGGTTTGTGAAGACTGTTTGAGCAAGTGAATGGCCTTCTAACCAGGACACTATACAAGCCATTGTAGCATCTATTATGCCTATTATCTCACTTGGTTCTAGGTCATCAATTTTCAGCTTTCCTGCCTGCAATCCAAAAAAAGAAATAAAATTTTGACATTAGAGGCTTATCAAGATTTTGCAAAACATAAAGTCAAACTATGAAACCAGCTGCTGCAGACATCAGTAAACAAAGATGAAAGTTAGATAAAAGGGCTTTTAATTATAATCTCTGTTAATGCAGTGGAGCAATGAGTATCTTGAAGATCCTAGTTACATAAATATTTTTTATCATACTGACTTAGAAATTATTAAGCATAATACATACAGCAACCGCTTGTTGAAAGTTCAGGGGCTTAGGGTTACCACGATTGCACATCATGCCTGCATCCATCTTGGGGTCCATCATCTCAATAGCTGACATAGCCTCGAATAAACCAAATAGATGTCCATCGTGCAATAGCTCTCCTAATTGGAGATCTGGAAAATGGATAACAATTGGAAATCAGAAAACAAAAACTGCAAGAATATCTTACGTGCAAATTGAACATGCAGCACTTATTACATTGTGAATAAAATCTGTCTATTTGTGATCAAAATATGTTTTATTGAAGTAACCAACTCAGATGGGTATAAGAATGTTATATGCTCACCTAATATCTAAATGACCATAAATTTAAGGTTAGCTTGAGTGAATTGATTATTTATTGCATACATAATGGTACTGTTTGTACAGTACTGACAAAATTTACCTTGTATGTATTTAAAGAAATCTGATGTTATGTCAACCCAATTGTAGGTGACTTCGGGAGATGCTGGCATTGAGTCCATTGCCCTGTAAGTGATGGAAAAATGTTCATAGTTCTTTTTATTAATCATAGATAGGCACAATAGTAAGACCATATACTAGACAAAATATAAGTTTTTTAACCTGCCACATGTCCTAGAGGCATACTATGTCCTTAACAATTTTGGTATTATAGCCTTACAAAGTCTCTAATGCACAACTAAGTTTACATCCACCTTATTTAAAAATAATTAATTATTTTTTTAATTTTCCCAAAACCATTACGGACACCATGTCTCCAGGATGCATGTCAAGTTAAAGGCATTACACTACTTTGTGTCCACATCAAAGTAATAGGTTAGGAAATGGCCAGGAAGAAAAACAAAAAGGATCATATAAAATTGATTATAATGAATATTATTATGTTTAACCTCCATGATATGCCCTTATTTTTGTAGAATATCTTTCCAAAAAATCCATTAAAAACAAAAACAACAAGATCTGTAAGAAACACGTGGAAGAATTCATAAGGTCTGCTAACACAATCTGTAGCCACTTGGTAGAGCAGTTGCCCTGGTATAGCACAGATGCAGATTTGAGTCCTGTCAGATCGAAGGAATGTTTTTCTTTATGTTCAATTTTTGTATTAATATAATATAATAATTCGAAATATATTGACCCTGGAAAGTAAAATGTTTAACGTGCTTTTAGAAAATATTACAGGTGATTCACGTCATCAAACCGTTGAACTGCTTTTTTGTATTCACATGTAACAGTGAACATCAACGAGTCCAATTTTAAAGTCATGCAATCCAAATGTCGTTAAAGTTATTCTGGTATATGAATCGAACTTAAATTTACTCTTAAACAACAAGTCATATGCATTCTGCTAAACTTTTGACAGTTCTTTCAAGGGACTTTCGACAACTAAGTGTCAAATTTCACAATCCAAGATGTCATTCATTAGTTGTTACATTATGATTCTACTCATATCAATGTTTGTTCAAGTGATACGTGAATACCCATTTACGACGCGACTTCGCTCTAACGACTACGTAACTTAAATGATACTTTGATAGCTTGAATTTACGTGAATCGCACTACTGGAGAGTAACTTGAATTCATAACATGAAGTCGTTTAAAAAAAAAATTATAACTCTAATTTTATTTCTTATGTGGAAAAGCTGAAACTTTCTAGATTTCCATATAAGAAATAAAATGAGAGGTATGATTTCTTTCCTTCAAAAATTTTTTTTAAATCGCTCTCTTGTAATATTTTCCAAATTACATAAGATGCATGTCATACTACAAAACTCTTAGATCATAAGTACTTTTGTTACTAACCACCTGTAGATTTTAGTTTATTCAATCTTTAATTTTTTTTTGCTTATTTATTCAGTTTTAATTACCTAAATTTTAATTACAAGTAATATTACAATAATATAATTTGAAATATGGATTGTAATAATCTGAACTAAAATATTTTTGTTATAATTATTAATACAAAGATCAAACACTTAGAAAAGGATTCAAACCGACATCTTCTAGCATGCCGTGCCAGACACTATACCAACTAAGCCACGGTAGGTTCGGGTAGGAATTTTTTCTGTGTTTGATCTTTGTATTAATAATTATAACAAAGTAATGGATTAATTTCACAAAACAATAATTGAATGTCAATTCAATAAAAATTTCAAATATTTTTATTTTTATTTATTTTATAAGATGTTTTACCTTTCCAGCATCAATATGAACATTAAAATTTTTAAAGCACTACAGAAAGTAATTCCTCAGAAATGAAACTAGCAAAAAATTTAACACATTTGAATAGCTTTTTTGGCAGTGATCCAAAATAATAAGTGTTAAAAGTCAGGGCATGCTAAAGGACAGGTTAAAGATTATATAAATACAACACATTTTGCACCAGACTGGCAAACACCATGTTAATGACAATAGCTAAAACTGCATGTGAACCACACATTGTTTTTTTTTTCATTCCCACTTGATTCTATGTACTGTGTAAATTTACTACCACTTCATAAGTAAGGTGAGTAATAGCCATGCAAAATCCAGGAATGTTTGCATGCTTTTTGTCTTAGAATACAGGTTATATTGTATAGCAATAATGTCAACCAGTATAAAACCACAAAAACACAAATTATAGATACACTTACTGCAAAAACAACAATGTGTATATACAACATCAGGTGCGAATTATTGCTAATACTTACCAAAAACTTAAAATAAGCTAAAGTTAAACCAGTAAAACACGTAAAATATTTCGGTATCATGCACCTCTATACTAACCCGTCACCATCGTAATATTCATCGTTATCGCTCATTAGTATACAAAAATCGTGGATTCGTATAAGAGAAGCTAAATTACCATGTAATTTTGATGATAAAACAAATAAACGACAAATTTGCTTTCGGAAACCGCTCGCGGGATCAATTTGACTTTATTTATTTGACACTGTGCTTCGCAATAATGATTTCATATGGAACTACTTAGTAAGAAAGAGACACATTACGAATAACTACAGAACAACTCTATCGTCTTTGATACGCAATAAACGAACAAAAAAAACGTTAATTTGAAGCATAGATAGTTTTGGAAAAAAAGGGTTTGAAGTGTGAAGTGCACAGAATTGGCGTTTTTTAATAGTTACATTTTTACACCAATTAATTTTTAGTTTATGTATAATTACGTTGTGCGTTTCTTGATTATTTGCTACCATTACGCTGAAGGCTCTGAAGCCAAACAATGCTTTATAAATAATAAGTGTGGAGTGGTCTTTTTTTTCTGAAATGGTGGGCTTTATGGCTTTAGCAGTTACTTTTTTTACATGAATTAATTTTTAGTTTATGTATATTACGTTGTGCGTTTTTTTATTGTTTGTACACATTAAGCTGATGGCTCTGAAGCCAATGCTTTATAAATAAATAAATAAAAGGTGTGAAGTACTGCCATCTAGCGTCGAGCAGAAACTATAATATATCCAAATAACCAACAAAAAAAAAACTCCAATATGACATTTTTCCGCGACGTGTTCTTTGTTGTGTATTGCTATTCACAGACTTCCTTAGATGCTAACGCATCAGCAGCTTGATTTTGATTGCCTCTCCCGATCGGAAACTGCATCTTTTCCGAGTTGAGGCGTATAATATTGCGGATGGGCTACCCGATCGGATTAATTCCGGTTTGAATTAAAATCAGGGCCCAGATGGATGATTGATATTACTGGTACCTACTGCTAATGGATAGAAAGAAATAATGAACTTCTCGTATGAATTAAAACAACGCATATAATTATATATATGTTATACTGTTATTGAACATTTGAGTAGTGGGTTCCACAGCCTCTGTGACGGGATCGTAGACGTCGCTGTCGAGTTGACTCGGTTCGGTGGAATCACTTGCTGGCATGACACCACCAGGTTTCGATAAGCCGACACCGTTGAAACCCATGTCCATACAATCGAAATGAAGGACCTGTTTACAATAAAAGAAACTAATTATAGAGAACTGATAGGAATAGTTTTTTTCCGTAATCGAGTGGCTTGTACACCGGTTTCATGACGTCGCCATCTCGGAGGTCTCGGGTGAATGAAGAAAACTAAGTTTTCTATATTGTCTCGGGTCTGGCTGTTCGTGGTACCGTCGTCGTTGTTTCCTATTTCTATGACATAAGTGCTTCAGTTACTTATTTTGGTATCAGAGCAAGGTATGTGATGTTGTGTAACATTTATTTACTTGTTGTTTATGTACCGGTATTGGTTCTTGATAAGAATCTCGGAAACTTAAAAGACGGACGTAAAACTCTCGTAAAGACGAAAGAAGTGGTGGACGAATATGTATGATATGGACATCCAACAGCAACCAGTACATGCATCCTCTTAAAAACTAAAAGGTCAAAAAGTAGAAACCCTTACGCAACAAATACGCTATATATGATGCTATCTGTTCATAATTACTTACGACAAACGTAAACGATTTAAAGGGTACAAAATCTTTACCAAAACAGGGGTCATGTCGATCCTAGTATCAATGTCCATACAGATGTGCAGTCTCTGGTCCATTACGTTTATGTCAAATAATCGGATGCACATGTCGACGAGACCGGGCGGTACATAAGGCACTGGAATCGGCAGGCAGAACGGTGGTGGATTGCGAGCTGTAAAACAAATAAATAGGTAGGTAAGCTATGTAAGTTGCACACTTTCCATTTCTTGCGCCGTACGTGTAAAGTTCATTTTTAACCGACTTAAAAAAAAGGAGGAGGTTCTCAATTCGACTGTATCTTTTTGTATGTATGTTACGCGATAACTTTGTGAACCGACTTTGATGATTCTTTTTTGTTGGAAAGAGTGTGCCTCAATATTTATTGATCCCATTTAAATGTCAAGAAAATATTTCACAAATTGCTAATTAGGGGATGAATCCGGTTTCGCGCACTTTCCGGTAAGCAATTTCAATAAAACTTGGCAAATAGATGTGATTCCAGGAACTGTGTGTGATTTGAGGTAGATTTTTAGAACTCTGTACTGAGATTGTGAAATATTTATTTGTAGATATAATTTGAATAAGCTTTATTGTTTTAAGATAGACTACCATTATAAAAAAAATATTACGATAAGTGTTATTTTTAGAAAAAATATAAACTAATTCAAGACTGTTCTGAGCGTGAATGTATTTATCACATTCCAAACACCATTTATTTTTCAAGCAACAAAGTGGTAACAGAGAAATCCGTAAACGAACAAGAGCCACCGATATAGCTCAAAACATTTTTAAATTCAGCTGTCCATAAACCCTACCAAACAGGCTACATACGAGTATATGCAGATATCTGCCCGAACTGACAGCCAGTTGTGAACAAAAGACTTCCATTGGTGACTCAACGGACATAGGCCCATCATTAGGTGAACCGATGACCTGCTGAAGGTCATCAGTTCTTTTAATTACTTGTCATCAAAATATGGACGTAATAATTCGGAGTAATATCATTTCGTAGAGCAACGATAATAATTATTCTGTTAATTAGCTCTCAAGTAACAGTGAAGTAAATGCCTACACATACCAGAAAATGTATTTTTGTAGATACTCGCATTGTTCATCATTACTTCCATATTGAGCGTCGAAGGTTCGGGATCATAGTTGAGAAGTATACAGGCTGCAAACAAAAATGCTCATCAGTAGTTAGGTAATTTATTTGTGAATGTTTATATTGGATAATTATGGCTTGTGTAGTTTGTGTAGTTTTATTGAGTGAAGTTTGAAATAGTTTCCCATGGCTTATTAGGCATTTATTTTTATATTATGTAGGCAGCAAACAAGCATATGGCCCTCCTGATATAAAGCGGTTACCGTCGCCTATGAACGCCTGCAACACCAGGTGCGTCACGAGGGCGTTGCCGACCCACTAGGACCCTTCTCAAACCCCTTATAACCTTACGCAGACAATCTCACGCAGCTACCAATCCAAATCATTTAGTAAGCGTAACTTCTTATTCTGTGAATAAAGCAACTAATTCCTAAATCACTCCATCTCGTTTATGTTGCTCAATCCATACTTCTATTTCTACTGTTACCTTAAACTAGCAAAAGTATCATGCTCATATACAACATTCCTAATGTAATCTAATACCCACTTACTTTTTTCAAAACCGAACGTCCTTATCTTAATTCCTGTACAACATTTACACTGATTTTCTTCACAAGAACATGCTCCTCCCATGAATGGCAGCCGCAGCATCCAACCAGGCTTGTACCATGGACGGGGCATCATTCTCTTTATTGTCTGTGAAATAGATATTTTCGATCAATCTCAAAATGACTCATTTCTGTCTCCTTGAAGGAAGCTTTTATTCCAAACCCAACACTAACCCCATCCGTATTTGAGATTTTACAACTTTCAGGAAACTTTTCACAAGGTTTTCAGTCACAGAGGAATATCAATATAACAATTCAATCTGGTGGTATAATACTACGGATTACGGACTTACTAAATACGGATATAAGAATTAGGGCTTTAAGTGAACAGCGATTGCCATTTACGTGGTTTAAAGCTTAGTGAAACAAAAACTTTAGTAAAGATTAATTAAACAGGTTCTGCGTAGGCACTTGAACGACCAAAATCCATGGTGGTGATCCGTTTAGCTTTTGCAGTTTGTCTTGACCTTTCGTATTTGTAATAAATATTGTAAAATACAAATGTTTATTTAGAAAAACCAACCTCTAACAAATGTTTACTTAAAACGAACAACGGTTACAAATGAGTGGTAGCGTTAATCAATGTGACGATTTCAAGTGTAATTTGTTACCTATGAAATAAAGATTAATTGAGTTTGAGTTTAAGCCAAACTACGTGGCAAGCATGGTGAATATTCTAAAATCTTTTTTTATTTCAAGATGTCTGTGAAGCCTTACAATTGACCGATAGCGTAAGTGAATTCTTAATCCAGTTGTTTCAATCATGTACTACAATGAATTCAACAACATGCGTCACTTAATGGCTCTCCGATATGAAAGGCGGAAGATGTGTAATTTTTATTGAATACTTTAAAACACAACGCGAAACAAAGTACTATTTTAGGAACACCTTCAATTGGTTGACTAATTCGAAAAACTTTAACAACAACTCTGCCGTTCTTATCATAAACAACGTGATCGACCTTTTTAGCGAAATTCAGTTATTAACATTATCTGGGATCAGAGAACGAGACTCGTACAATCACATACAAACGGTTTTATTATATATTATTTACTTTCAGTTTTAGCGTAAATTTACAATTTCCAAAAAGAAAACTAGGTGCCAATATTTGGAATGTTCCCAAAATGCAAATGCATTGTTTACGACAATTTCATGTGATAAATAATAACATTCCTGAAAACTTTAATTCTTATGTAATTTCTTGAAAAGCTGATTGTTTCAAAGAAAAAAATTTTAGTTTGGATAAATAAACATTTTATTTTTTATCTCGAAATGTAGGAGAATGTAATGTGTGTGGTTTATTTACAGTATAGGTCCAATCATTCTCTATCAAGAAAAAATAACCCATCTGCAGGTACTTGCGGCTTCACGAGTAAAAGGTGACAAAATTTTAGATTTGTAATTTATTTTTAACCGACTTCAAAAAAGGAGGAGGTTCTCAATCCGACTGTATGTTTTTTTATGGTTTTTTTTGTATGTATGTTACGCGATAACTCCGGTATTTGTGAACCGATTTTCATGATTCTTTTTTGTTGGAAAGGGGACCACTAGGTCCCATTTCATTTTAAAGAAAATCATCCACTGCTGTGGCTGTTCACGCATGAAGATTCATTTTTGTAAATAGCAACAAAATTTTACTTAAGGAGTAATTATTTTAATGGTTGATTTTGCTATTTCTCCAATTCAAGGAGTTTTTCTCTCCTTTGAGTAGTGAGAACCGATTTTTATTATCTCCAGTGTCAAGTCCTGCACAGTGGCGAATTTAAGGATATGTCAATAAAACTTAGCAAATAGACGTAATTCCACGTACTTTGGAGGTCGGTTTTTTTAGTACTCTGCCCTGAGATTATTTAACACAATATACTAGTTTCTATTTAAGTTTCGTGTTATTGTTATAACGTTCTTTAAATTACACTAAAATAACTTTTCTTTAGTCGTAGCTCGTGTATTTTGTTAAATAAGTACATAAAAAAGTTAGCAATTTTGTCGCACCTTTACTTACAAAGCCGCAAGTATATGCAGATGGATTTTTTTTTTTACATAGAAAATTATTGGAACTATACTGTACGTAACCAATGTGCGTGACATTACATTTTCGTATATTTTGAGATAAAAAAAAAACATTAATTATTCTTTTTCTCTGAAACTATCAACTTTTCAAGAAATTATACAAGAATAAAAGTTGCAAGGAATGTTATTATCTATCACATAAAAAAAAATAGCTTGATACTCCACAAGTTATTCCTATGTCCAAGAATTATCAATTTAAGCCCACTCTGGGGCACCGCGCCGTGGTAGTGCCCCTAAGATCGTTACGATTTAAAGCTCTGAGTGGCACTGTAATTGTTATGAACAGGCGTGTCGCTTACCACCAGGCGCACGACTTGTTCGTCGCGTCACTTAGTATTATAAAAAAAGTTGAAATTAAAATTAAAAATAATATGTCTACGAATGTCCTTCACGTCAAGCTACAAAGCCTTCAATTACAATATAGAATCTTTTCAAATTATTCACAGTGTAGGATGTACATGTGTATGTATTGCACCTTTGCTGAGATTGACGTCTGGGCGTAGTAAAATGAGGAAGCCACGAGTTTGATCACAGTGGTACAATTTGAGCAGTACATTATATTTTCTTCTTCAACAAGGAGGCCGAAATTGCACAAGCTCAAGAAAATGCGACCGTGTAACCATAGACGTTTGAGAGTGCGCTTGTGCTACTGCAAAAACTTACCTCGTTAGTTTTCAAATCGTAATAAACAGAAAAATCGGATATATCCATCACTTCGTTAGCATTTAAAATTCTGGCATTGTCTTTTCTATGTTTCAAAGACGTTCCTGAAATTTAACAAACATAATTTTTATCAAATTCTTGAGTTTTCGCTATTGTTACACATAGGAAATGAAACATGATTAAATCGGATCTAAATGATCTAAACAAATATACACGTATATTTGTTTTTTCAAACAAATCCACGTTTTGGTTCCTTTACGGCCCCATGTGAGTCAGCCGTGACCACGGAAGAAAGAAAAGTTATGTGGTCTGTGGCCGTGACCATGGGACCTCTAAAGAGCCCGAAGCGTTGATGGTTTGCTATATACGCGATTTAGATGGGAACTAACAGTTTCAACAAAATTTTTGATAACTGTTTAATTTTGTTATATTTGTATAAAAATCCGTGGTCTATAAAAAAATAAATACATACCTACCAATTTTTCTTTACATTAAATTAAATTTAAAAATCTTCACTTCAACGGAAGGAAAATATAATCGCCAACTGAAAACTTAAATGAGACTACCAGCGCATAAGTGGTGTAAGCCATGTTTTTACATTTTTTCTACAATATTATTAAAATTTAAATGATACTAAATTACATAGTTATTATATACGTATTTGAATACTATTCTCACGTATAATTTTTTTAAATAATTATGCATATTAGTCGTATATGATTACTATATGTATGTAAAAGAATTCGGCTAACTTTAAATCCTTCATTATCTTCTATATGCGTTTCATGGGGTGACATTAATTTACGGTGCTAGCCTCATATATAACAATACACTACTCACCACAGCTAAAGGCACCACACACCAGCAATACCGAAAACACTGTTCCAATTTCCATGTTTGTAAGACACTCAACCTATATTCTATGACCCGCTGCCTCCAGGGACACCATTCAAATGACAACACGTCGATAACCTATGTCAACGGTAGCAGTTTTACTATTTGTATGCATGGCGTGCATGAGCGCAACTAACGCGGGACTTTCTAGAGAAACTCCTGCGCATCACTGTCGAACCACCACTGCAGTGCATGTAACGACCATCACAGTTTCACGCTGAATATTACAAAACTCTCTCGCGAAATCGCAAACCATTCATTATATATTATTTTGTTAACGTAATGGGTTTAAAGAAAACATACCACCGTGTGTCGTACTTACTTTACTTATGATTTAAAATAATTTACAATTTTCTGAAAGTGAGCGTATACAAGCATTGAAAACAAAACCGTCCAATTTTTTATTTTGTCGTGAACTCTATTAAAGTATATCCAAAATTTTAACATTTGTTTGGGATTGATTTGCTCTCAATTTATTTTGCGAAACAGTATCGTAAACATCGCTGTCTAATTGGGAACTTATAGTAGTCATACTACTGTTATCGGAGCCCATTTCAGTACTGACTGTATTATCAGGTCCACCGAATCCAGGTCTGGTAATACTAATTCCACCAACTCCCAAATCCATGCAGTTAAATTGGAGTGTCTAAAACCAGATATCATTTATTGATTAGATTATTCTGTCAGTCACTTTTATTACACTGAGTGGTCATTTAATTTTTTTTGTAGTGAAAATATATGTCCACTGTAGCGAAAAAGAATCAGACAAGGAATACTATCCCGTTTTAAAATATTTTTCGTATTGCTGAAAAAGTTTGAATTTTGCTATTGGCAATTTCGTAGCCTACACTATTGTTCTAAATAAAGCTTACCAAAAATGGATATTGAGCGATCCTGACCAACATAGCCAAACAAGTATGTAGTCTTTGTTCTACAACATTCGTATTGTAAAGTTGGACGCACCAGTCCACAGGGCCAGCTATAGTGATAGGTATAACAGGCAAACAAAGCAGTCGATCTTGAGCTGAAAATTAATTATTTACACACTTTCAAATAATTTTCGATATTTATTTGTGGAAATAAAACTTAGTAGGAATAGGTCTTACTAGAAAACCTGCTATGCAAAAGGCTATTATTATTCATCCTTAACTCCAAATCCAGTTTTGACTCTTCTGCCTTGTAGGTTAATACTGCACAAGCTGAAATAATGACGTACATTAACACCAAGTTACAAGATAATTATTTAATAAAAACATTATATAGCACAATGTACCAGTGTTGTACTACACAATAATCTCTACCTTCTCTATCAAATCCGAAGCCATGTATTCGAATGCCAGTACAACATTTACACTGTGGGCCATCACAGGAACATGGAGAGGCGAATGGCGTCAATGCTAAAGTTTCAGGTTTCGATGGGCGTTTCATAGTAAGTGTCTAAAAAAAACATATCTAATCAATTGGATCTTTTCCACGGTGTACCACTAGGTACGTTACTGGACCCCTTTGCAACTAGTTATTTCCTGCGTTCACCTCATTGGTCCACTTTTTAAGACACTGCCGTATAGGGTCTTCCAAGTCAATATTGCCAATCAAAAACCTTTGTACGACAACAGTTTTAAAAGATGAACAAGAATATTTATTGCCGAAAAAGTTAAACTTTAGGAATGTATTCGATTTTTTTTTTATTAATTTTTGTTTCAAGCAAAGATGCCAAATTGAACTAAAAAGTCACCTGATTCGTTTTTGTATTGTAGAAAGTGGACAAACTTGCTATTTTGGCAACATCCAATTTTCCATGTTCCTTTTCTACATGAGCTGAAATTGAAAGTGTGACAAATAAGACAAAGGTACTGAATACTTACAAACGACAACACGCGGTAGAATGTTCTTTCAAGTGTTATTATTATTGTATAAATAGTACATACTACATTTCATCACAACTGTCTCCAAGCAATGTAGGCCGAGATAACAGATCTCTCGATCGAGATTAATACCTGACTAACTTTTCGTTAAATGCTTGATGGAACTCTAATTTTACATATGTATTATACAATATTAAAAATTCAACGTGCCTATTTAATGGCTGTCATTAATATAAATAGCTACGTGCTATGCGATCTGAAGATAGGTATGGTGTTGAGCCGTTTTAAGGTATACAGTCACGTGCGTGAATATCACACGTAGCGAAATTATAATAACAGATATCCCTGAAACGTTTTTTGTTATTTTTTAGAAACTAGGTAATTTGTATGTAAAAAGAGGGAGGACATCTACCACGGAGTTTGCCCAGGGTGAGGCTGACAGGCTTCAGCGATCTAAGAACGCATTTGACCTCCATTTTATCCATTTGATCCTTGTGAAGGAATTCGTCCAGAGAAGTACTTTCACCTTACCTATTTCAGCCGCCAAGCAGTAATGTGAGCTTTACTGCGTTCTGGTTTCGAAGGGTAAGGGTGCTGATGAAATTTACAGGCACATGGGACTTGTCAACATATGTCTGAGGTGGTAAGCGACACGCTTATCCATAACAGTTGCAGTGCTATTCAGAGCTTTAATAGCAAAGATCTTTGGGGTACTGCCACTGTGCCCGTCATCCTGAGACATAAGTTGAAAAGTTCCATGTGCCTGTAATTTCACCAGCACCCTTACCCTTCAAAACCGGAACGCAGTCATTACTGCTTGGCGGCAGAAATAGGTAAGGTGGCAGTACTTCCCTGGACGAACTCTTTCACAAGTAGCTCTACTGCAACTATAAGGCGCACAACTTGCTCGTCCCATCTCTTGGTGTGTGAAAAAAACACCTGATGGATAGTGACAATACACAAGCTCGACGATGGAGCATGCACATCTAAATAATGCTTGTTCACACTCGCATTGAAAAGGCCCAAGTTAAGTATTTAGGGAATAAGCATCAAGCAGGGAATTCCACTCCAGAGCCGTTCGCTAATTATAAATGAAGAAGCGAAACGCTTCTTTCCATTCCTTACAATATCAAAAAAAAAGGGAAGGCGAAATCCAATTGTGCATTTCCATCGCACACTCTCCGTGATGTATGCTTTAGAATACTGATAAGCAGGCAACTTTAGGGCGCGGCGGTGTTTAAGGCTCTGCATTTTCACGTCTACTAAATCCGAGTCGCCTATAAGCTTCTTAGCATTCTTTTCAAGTAAATCCAAGGTGGCCAGTTGGTAGCTGGGCATCAATTTGACTTGCCAACACTAAGTGCGGGTATATGTGTTTAGTAGCAGTAGACTTCCTTGTGAAACAGTTCGTCCAGGGAAGTAATGCCACCTTACCTATTTCTGCCGCCAAGCAGTAATGTCAGCATTACTCTGTTCCGGTTTTGAATGGTAAGGGTGCTGGTAAAATTACAGGCTCAGCGGACTTGTCAACTTATGTCTCAGGGTGTCAAGCGCAGTGGCAGTGTCCCTCCGATCTTTGCGGCTTGCTCTGAGTGGCACTGCAACTGTTATGGACAGGCGTGTAGCTTACCATCAGGCGAACGACTTGTTCGTGCCGTCACTTGTATTATAAAAAAAGAAATTAACAACATACTGACCAATCCTGCATCCAAAGTGGCCAGAGTGTCCTCTAATAAATAAAGTAAAAAGAGACTATAAGTAAAAAGAGAGAGAATTGATATAAAATATCATAGTTATGGTTTCAATGAATGTTTGTAACGAAAATTGTAATTGTATTTCACTATATACTTTCACAATTTCAATATTTTTATAGGTCATAGGACACAAGTATTGTCTTAATTTAATGAAAAAGCACCTTGAAAACACGGCAATGTCCTGAAGTGTATTTGTATTTTTTTTTAATTTTATGTCTTGTTACTTACCTGTTGCAATGAATCCTGTTAAGACGCTCAACATTAATATTAGAACTAAGTAACTCATGTTTTCTGTGGTAGTTTTTGCTTATGATATTGTCTTCCAATACGCACGAAACTTTATATTTTTTTGTCTATTGTCACGGCATTCATTAGTAGTACTACTTTATAGAATAAAGATTCAACTGCAACTAAGAAGACTTTCTCTCCTGTGCATATCGTTTATGCACCACCACTTGTTCTCCAATTCATAAATCAAGTTTAATTTATGCAAAATGTGATCATCTCACGATAAAATTAGAATTATAGATTCTAACAACAAGACGGGGATTTGAACATTGTACGTACATATTTCACATCTCTCAAGAATTTGAAGATTTACTACTTTACTAAAATACATTTTTTACATGAATAAATACATGTCAAATCAACGAAAATAGGAATAATAACAGCTTTTAACCTAATAGGTACTGCGTTATAACTGCGTAACGTGGTGAAGGCCTCGAGCACAAAGGGATACATCACAAAAATGAATACTACATACAACTATGGTCATAAGACCTATCCTTAATGTACACCTTGCTTAGTTTGAACACTTGATCCACCGTTATTAAATAAGTAAATGTAAAACAATTTGTATTTACGCATTAAGAATAATAATGTATAAATACGAAAATCTAATTACGCATGTACACTAACAAAACAATCGTAGACAGTATGAGCTGATAGGGGAAGCGGTTGATTCACAATTGAGAGGTTGATGGTTTGAATCTTTGAGGCGGATTGAATCCATGTATATATGTAATTCATGTATAATTTTAATATGTGAATGGTTACGCAATATCTCTCGCATACAGTAAATGAAATCGTTTTGATGAAGTTTCTGGAAGTTCGACATGCTCGAAGAAAGTTCACAATTCTTAAGACTGCCCGTGCTCGCCCGTGGCGGCCTGTTTGGATTCTCCGCCTGGTCGGTAACCCTCAAAGGCGCGAGAGCGTGTGCGCCCCGGCCCGTGGCCATCCGGAGTCGACTGTTTCGCAAGCTCGCCCTTACAATCGGCGCGTTCGACGTCACCGCCCTTGGGAACCTACCCTTAGAAAACGCGTATGAAACAAAATAATTTATAAATAAAACGCAAATAAACAATAAAAACAAATAATTTAATAAATAAAGTCAACAATTAACACAATATTCGTATCCATGCGTTCTCTATCTTCTGTCGAATAAGTCTAAGAGTGATTTCACAACATTTTCGTCGTAGTCTTCGATGTCATCTCCTGAATCCACAACGGCATCAACTCCTCCTTGAGGGTTCGGTATAGTGATACCGCCATTGTCCTCCGGTCTCATCATCGCTAGGCCGTCGGCGCCCATCCTGAAAATTAGTGATAGCTCATTTCCACGCTATTCTACACTCTTAAGGCCCAGCAAAGTACGCTGGGAAAAACGCTAAATTAAAATATACTAAATATAATTGTATAATAATAACATGCTTCAGACACAAGTTAGTTGTGCATGAAAAACTTTTTTTTTTTGATACCCTATGCTATATTTTCATAGGGTGTTTACGTGGTCGTAGGAATAATATTGTCTGACTCTGAATCACTTCACATTACATTTTGATGTACGAGGGGCATTCGGAGGCTATAGTATCCAATATATCATCGTTATTGTATTAATTCATATTTTTTGTTTTTATTCAATTAAGATAATATACAGGTAAGGTAAAAAAGACAATAAAAGCTTAACTACTAGAAAGTAAAACTAGGATTTTTAAATTATATGAATAAAATTGGGTCCCCGCAGCAAGGTGCTAAGATGCTGGCTGCGTTCCCCCTTTGTAAGTAACTTTTCAATCAGTGTAAAGTAGGGTGATATTAGATATAACTGGTTGACGACTTTATCATCTCAGTCAACCGTAACCATGGGACATGTAAAAGACCCGAAACGTCGGTTTGTTTGAAAAAATAAATACACGCATACACATAGGAGGTGCATACATAATTTTGTCTTGTTGTGCACATAAACCCGTTATTGTAATTATTGTGTCCCATATTAAGAGGTCAGACAGGAAGAAATTTCTTTTAGATTTAAGCAGTACCCTATGTTTGTGTTTTCCTTTTTACTTCAATAAATGAATACATGCGTTTTAGATCCGAAAAAATTGTTTCGTTTTATCGTTGTAATTATTATTATACTAGCGAAAATATTGACTGGCACCTATACTGCGTTGGTAAACAAACATACCTCAAACAATCGAATGCCATGTTAAAGAGCTCCAACTTCCTCCACTGACCAAACATGGCGAGGCAAAAGTGAAAGTTTCTCCCCGGGAAAAATACGTTGTAGAACTTCGCGCACACTTTTAAATTATTCATTCGCGGTGGGCTAATACAGATTGGGCGGGGATTTTTTCCTGAAAACATTGGTTTAAAACACTAAATTTGGCTTAACATTATAACATACGAAAGTTATTTCACTATACTTGTAATTATAACCAACACGTCTTCTGATTTTATTGGCGTAATGTTCACCATCAAATCTATGCATCATATTTGGTATAATAATAAAGTAAATGACATGAAAGGCATAAAAATAATACGAACAATATGAAACAAGCTATGTATATATGTGAAATATTATAACTTTCCAATTTGAGCATAAAAAAGCTGTTGACACATTTCGTTCGTAGAACCCTTAACGTTTTGACGAGACTAGTGATGTGACAAGTTATGAATTTCCACCAATATTACTTTAATTCTCCCAAGTTAAAGAAGAACATAACTGAGCATAAAATGCAACTATGAATACTTACTTAACTAGAATATACAAATAATACATGGAATATCTTAATATTGATTTATTAATTTTTGAAAACGTTCACGCTTTAAAACGTCCATGGCGGCCAACGGGTGAAAACCCTGTCTTGAAAAGTTGTCATTTTGCAGATATGGCCTTACACCACGCGTGGGATATTTGATTGTTTCAGTTAGCATAAGAAACAGTACAAATAAAAGAGAATGTAGTTTAGATAATTAATTACCAATCGCGTATATTTGTTTTTTCAAATAAACCAACATTTCGGGCCCTTTATGGGACCTGCCATGGTCATGGTTGACAGTCAACTGTGGGTTCCTTTGAAAAAACAAATATGCGCGATTTAAATCCGGAAACAAAATTTTATTTCCTATGTTTAAGAATCGGGAAACCCTAAGAACTCGATAATTAATTACCTGTTAAAGAATTTTCGTAAAGAATCCGATCGTTCCATGACATAGCGACATCGAAAGCGAAGTCGCCAGGATGGTACGTAACTCTCATACATGCCTTCTGGTTGAACAGATCCATGATAAGGCCTGTGCAACATTTGCATACTCCAAGGGTACAGGTGCACGGACGTGATTCCTCCGAAGATGATGATGAAGATGAAGAATTTGTAATTGCTGTCGCAGGAGCCACTGTTACTTGAGTTTGCTTCGGCCTGGCCCTCCCCATATATGATATAGTAGTTGATTTCTTCAAATTCAGCCGGTCTAGTAGTAACAAAGAACTATCAGGTACTTCCAGTTCCACATCGTTTAGTGTTAATTTATGTGCACTTGTAGCATTGGCTCTCTTTGGTATAACTACAAGAAAGTAAAGCTTGTGGTATTATGAGGTATCTAGCAAAGTTATATAAAATTGACAAAAATGCAAAAAACTTACGTAACTTTTGTCCGTCGATCGGCGGCAAAAACAAGACTATCACAATATATAGCAATTTATTGTATTTGATCATATTTAATATTTATTGCGACGCGGGACTGCGCACGCGGCGATCTTCTGAATAATACAACGTTCCAATTCAATACGACTGTTTCGGACCGGTTTAACGCAAACGATCTCCACTTTCACATGCAGGTTTAGTTTTATCAATCTTTAAATATCATAATGGTATTGACTAACCCAGAGTTTACATAGTCTGAACATTCACTAAGAAGGGGCAAGAAACATTGTTTTCACTCACAATAAGGCGCCACTTTCGCTTTCGCTTTTACACAGAAGCTACTAACAAAAATCGACTCTAAGAAAAAGTATACACCTAAATTTTCTTTATAATTTAGTACATTTATTAACAAATAATCAGTACGCGTCTCTTAATTACAATACATAAATAACTTAACAAGGTTTTATTGTTATTCACAATATATTGTACACGTTTATGGCACGCTATAAGTGTTTAAACTTTTACACTACGTCCATCAAAAAAATCCCCGATAGCATCGCCGATACCATCTAGTGGTCCTCCATCGTCATCATCGTCGGATCCTCCACCACCGCCACCGAAAAATCCACCTTCGCCACCAAAAATTCCACCTCCGTCACCTCCTCCGAAGAGTGCCCCTGCAGCGTTTTGAAGAAAACTTCCACGATCACCATCATCATTGTTACTATTTCCGTAAATGTTAATAGGAGTAGGTCCTGCTGAAACTGGTTTAGGCTTTAATCCTGACTGAATTCCAGACACACCGAAGCTGTAAGGAAATACATAAAGTTAAAAGATAATAGAAGAAGAAACTTCACAAAGAAGTATTAATTTCTTACCCAAAACATCTAAAGGAAGCAGAATAAATAGGGAAACCTCCAATGTCCGCGTTGATGTCTAAACAAGCGTAAGCGTTTCTATTCCGCACACGAATATTTGAAATTTCAGCACAAACTTGAACAAATGGTGCTCGTCTCGGATTAAAACATATTGGCGGAGGGTCACTAGCTACAATGTAAGATGAAATCTCCAGTAAAACGTAAATTATAATTGAAATTAAAAAGGAAAAATCAAACTGAAATCAAAAACATAAACAACACCCACCTGAAACTCTTTGTCGTACTACCGTCTTATTATTTACAGATAATCTGACATCGAAAACAAAGTCTTCTGGGACAAAAGTCATATTTCCACAAGTTCTCATTCTGTATCGGTCTAAAAATGCCCCTGTACAACATCCACACTCTCCGTCCCTACACGAACATGGAAACCGAAACACTTGCCCGGCTACCGGTTGTTGTGCTGGAGGGTCGCTCACCGGAGCTTCACTGCTTGGGGTGTCATTAACTACAGTATCATTGGCTAATACTGGTGTAGGTGTGGTATTCACATCGCAAATTTCATCTTCGGAGGCTGTCGTACTTACTACTTCTTCTTCGTCTAGGTATTCATCATCTACCTGATTTTCTTCAGACACATGCACCGGTAAAACAATAGTTACTGGTGACTTAAGCACTGGGGTAGGTTTTAATGCTTGCTTCCAGACATACTGAGGCACTTTTATGTTGATTACATCGTATGGTCTATCCTCTTTTGTTAGTAGGTCAGCTGTAATTATGACAAATAAAGGTTAAGCAATGTACTCTAAATAGGTTGGTTACATTTTTTAATATTACTTCATACTTCTTCTCGCACTGGTTTGTGTACCACTATATACTAAAATTATTAGCAAGCAAAATTTAAGGGAAGTGTTCATTTTCTGCCAAGGAAAATAGTAATGAAAACGTCTTGATGAGCGTGGTTTGACTTTGTAGTTGCAATTGCAGGCTCTATCAGTAGCGTCAAGTATTTAAGTGTTGTCCACCGACTGGGTTCCTATGAGTCATGTGATTGCATGGTCACTGGATGTTGCGACAAGTTATAAATTTTAAAGACAGTACAGGAGAAAGTTGAGTTTAAACGATTTTATAAATTTCTCCTTTCGGCATTGGAAGCGTGTTCTGAATTGGCAGGTATGTCATAACCCTTATAATGTTTACATCAACTTAAAATGACGGGGCCATATCCACATAAGACTTGACTTGATCAATTTTTACGTGACATTTGATTATAAATACAACTTATTACAACGAATAAGTACCTTAATAGTAAATTAAAATGTGGTTCCAATTACAAACATATGATTGTCTGATACATCTAAGGATTCAAAAGTATTATTGGATGTTTACTAGTTTCCTTATTTTCTTCGAAACTGAAAAACTGTTAATTTCCTACTAACTTAAAAACTGAATCCACAAAAAATGTTAAAACGGATTTATTTTATTTTAGTTTTTTGGATAAATAATAAAAAAATATATCGAACTTTACGCCTGTTATCTATAAAAAAATTTAATGAATATATTCTTGACTACTAAACTATGAAGCTTAGACCCGAGCTTATGAGCTACGAAACGGTTCTTGTTGATTTATTCATTCCATTGACTTTTGTTGGTTTATGCAGCCATTCAACTATCTACAATGATTTGATAATTTTACCGATGATAATCAGTAGAGATAATATTTTGTCGTAAAAATATATTGTATGGCCTACCTATAAATATCTAAATAATTATGTAGTTGTGTCATTGAACTGAATTTGTCATTGAACTGAAGATTACATTAATAAAAATAGTTAATATGGTCGTTTATCACATTTTGTTTTTAATAGACTGAAGAGAGTGCAGAAGGCGAAATAGACTTGTAGGGAACTGTAGTTTCATCTTTTCTGCCTACCTAAGAAAATAATTATTGTTTTTTTAAATTTTATTTAAGGATAAAAAATAGCACAGTTTCGAAACGTTCTATGTACGTCTTTATTAATACTCAGGCCAAACATACAAACACTAATATAATTTCACTATTTACACAGTCAATAAATAAATTAATATTGAGATATAAATAATTTCTATGCCTACTTATAACTAATGTGACTCTTCTGTCATGCTTTGGACCATTCTCCTTGCATCATCTTATTCTGTCTTCTCCTATTTTTATTGTTTTTTTCAGATCTCTCAAGTCCAAGAGATTCGCCAACAGTATCAAGACCAAGCATATCGTAATCGTACTCTTTTTGGCTTCCTTTAAATCTTGTGTCCTTATGTTTTTTTTGTCTCTTGTTTCTTCCTAAAAGACCTAATTGATCTCCTACAGTTTCTCCAATAGTTTCTAATCCAAGAACATCATAATTATCGATTTCATCATTTTCTCCGTGGACTTTTGTGTCTTTATGTTTATGTTGTCTTTTGTTTCGTCCAAACAATCCAAGTTGATCACCAACTGTTTCACCAATTTTATCGAGCCCCAAAATATCTAAATCCTCCAGACTAAAGTCACTGTTCCTGTTTTGTCTAAGTGGAATCATAGGTACATAAGAGTTGTCTTGAAAATGAGTAGTTCTTGTTTCTTCAGCTGTCATTTTTTCTTCTTCTTTTTTTGAGTCTGTTATCGTTTCTTCTGAAGTGGAGTCAAGATTTTGAACAACCTGAATCATATCTCCGTTAACTCTTTGCTCTGAAGATGTAGGGAATGAGACCGTAGTGCCTTTAGGAGTGATAGTTTCAATTTTTTCATAAGCAGTATGCCCTTGATCGTGCATTGTAGACATCATGACAGTATCCTTAGCTGCTTCGGATATAATTGAAGTCTCAGGCATAGCAGATAATTGACCAGTTATATGAGCTAATGACATTTCTATACCAGGGTCTTCAAAGTTTGTGTCTGGTTTTTCTGTGGGAGTTGACATTGTGAAATGTGGTCTTTGAGTTACTATAACTACTGGCTCAAATTTTTCATCATTTGCGGTCGGTTGTGGACTAATTGTCGTTGGCATAGGCGTGTTGGCAGAGGACAGTACTGTAGATGATGGTGTAGTCATTGTCGACGTGGAAATGGATGATGGAATAGAATTTTCTGTTACTGCTGTAGTAATAGTCGGTCTTCTATTAGGGCGATTAGGTCTCCTTGACGGTTTGCGAGTGGTTCGCTTATTTCCTGCGGCCGGACGAACTTTTACTGTCGTTGTTCTAATGGGTCTTACTGTCGTAGCTCTTGAACTTGGCTTGCGCGTAGGACGTCTGTTAGGTCTAGGTCGTTTAGTAGTCGTAGTAGTAGTCGATAGGGTTGGCGCCTGCTTTTTCTTATTTTTATTCGATTTTTTCTTATTTGATGTTTCGCCAAATAAGTCTCCTAATAAATCTTCACCTAGGAGACTAAACCCTGTATAGTCTCCACCGTCTACATCATTAATGCCAGTGAAGTCACCTGAAAGTTACAATAGTCATAATAGTTCCTTTATAATTATCATTAATTTCAGCATAGAATATTTTTGTATTCTTGCTAAAATGCTACTTACTATCATCGTCGTTATCTGCGAGGTCGAAATCGTCATCATCATCATCGTCGTCGTCATCATCGTCATCGTCGTCACTGCCTTTCTCATTTTGTGGTACTAAAGGCAATGGATCAGCCGGTTCTGAAGAGACTCCTCTAGGGCCAAACTTGAAGCATGATACTCTCACAGCTGCTTCAATGGTTTTCCTCGATTGAAGCTCCAATCCAAGACACGCTCTGAACTCTTCACCAGAACGGGCGATATTGTACACTCTTCCACAAAACTTCGATATACCACCTGGTAGAGGCATGCACACCGGACTTGGCTTGCGACCTGTTTAACAGATAATTGATAAATTGTCCGCTAGCATTTACAACATTATTTTAAATTTTATAAAATAAAAACCAATCATACTCACTTGAAAGAGTCTTATTTGTTATAACTTTTCTTCCGAAGCTCAAGGACACCGCCATTTTGTCACCATTCAAATACATTAACGTTGCACATCCTGAAATATTTTTTAAAATAAATTTATTTTCTGTTGAAATGTAATTCATAATATTATTTTATTTGAAACATGATAATGCAAGCTAAATTATTAGACACGAACATAATAATAACTTTCTGCACGTTAAGAAATTTTCAATGCAAGTCTATATTTATGATGACATCAAACTCTTTTATTGGTCCATGCACTGCTAGACGCTTTCTGCTAGATTGTTCGTAAAAACTGTATAGTTTCTTTTTCTTAGATCTCTAGAATATGTGTATTAAATTGTAATCTATCTAGATAGACTAAAATTTATCATTGTCATTATACTGATTGTACTATAACTATACCATGTGCTTTACTATAATTTTTAATATTTTCTACATTTTGCTTAAAATTATTTCTAAGTTAGATAACTGTTATTAAACAAGTTCTTAGGTTCCTAGGTCCCATGGTTACGGTTGACTGTCAACCGTAGGGCAGATTACAATTTAATACATATATTCTAGAGATCTAAGAAAAAGAAACTATACAGTTTTTATGAACAATCTCGAGTTGTTTGCCAAAAAACAAGTATACGCGATTTAAATCCGAAAAAATAGTTTCATTTCCTATGTAATTAAACAATTTCAAAGTGTTTTTACCTGGTCCATCCAATTTGACTAGCGGCAAAGCGAAATCTCTACAGCAGTTGCAAAACGCTTCGGAACACTTGCAATATCTATTGATGCTGCTGTCTTCTAGAGGTATCACTTGCTCCGAAGATACATCATGTCTATTCGTTAGGTTTTTTTTGTTGTTCTTCTTGTTACCTTTAAACAAATATTGACTACAATTTATATAATGTAGAGGATACATTCCATTTACAAGACCGTTTGTTATTATAATTGAAGCATTGGATTAATTATTCGTTAGGTACTTTTTTTTCAATTATATCTGCGTTCATACATTCTACAGCTGCGCACAGGCTTTCTTTAAGAAATGAAATTCGTACAACATGCTGGCCTTGTGCAGGTTGTTATCGTGAATTAGTCTAAAATGCAGCTCCGCTCTTTGTTCAGAATATGTATAAATATAAAAAGAGAACTGTGTATTTGAAGTTGCTCTTTAAAGTTCTGAAAATTCGTGTTATTCTGTGTTACTAGTAAGCTTAGAAAGTTTCTTGTGATATAAGCCTAATCTTAATGGCGTCAAATAAATATTATTTCGATCCTGGTAAGATATTATATATAGGTTCTTACAGAGACCAATTCTAATACATGATTACGAAAATTTATGTGAAACTGCACTTGATTGAAATTGTTATTTACCATTGTTTTTTATGACACCAATAACTGGGACGAACAAGTCGTGCGTCTGGTGGCAAATGATACGCCTGTCCATAACAATTGCAGTGTCACTCAGGGTTGGAATTCGCAAAAATCTGAGGAGCACTGGCCTTGCAGCTGTCACCCTGAGCCATGAGGTGACAAGTATCACCTCAGGTAACAAGGATAAGTATGCGCCTATAATTTCACCTGCACTCTTACAATTCAAAACCGCAAGGCAGTAATACTCACATCACTGCTTGGCAACCGAAATAGGTAAGGTAGTGGTACTTTCCTGGACGAACTCTTTTACAAGGAGCTCTAATGCTTTTATTGACTGAATTGATATTTTGTTAATATTTGGTCATAAACACACGCATTAGAAAATGATTGATTATACGCTTTACAACAACTCACAGTACACACTATAACAAGCTTACAATTTTTAAAACAACCAAAATAAGACGCCAATGATGAACAGAATATAGGTGAGTTGAACACCCAAACGTATTTTAAAAGAAATTTATCGACTGCAGAAGTCGGGATAGGCTGAAAACTAGAAAGTGGAATAGCGTAAAACAACAGCATATCAAAACTACTACAGTGAAGAGTTAGAGACTAAGCTAAGTCTACACTAGTCCACACACAATTATAGACTGTCATCATCATCCACAGCGCGACTTCACCCGCTACTGGTTATAGGTTTCCTGTAGTTTATGCCATCCACCACGATACTGCGCTAGTCGGTGGTGACAATGTCGTCCACCCATCTCGCTTCAGAACGTCTCACGTTTCTATAACCATTTCTTGGCCACCATTCGGTTGTCACCTTACTCCGTCTATCTCCATCACGTCTCGCAATGTCCTGCCCAGTTCCGTTTTAAATTCGTTCTCCGATCTCCTAGGTCCTAAACCTTAGTTCATCTTCGGAATTAAGAATTAGAAACGCGATCCGTAAGTAAGGTGCCGAACATGACGTAGACTTGGGTTTCACCCCTATGTTGTGAATATTCCATAGATTCGCACGAAACGTTACGCTTCCACATTTATATAGCGAACGGCTATAGAGTAGAATTCCCTGCCTGCAGACTTGTTCCCTAAACGTTATGACTTGGACAGAGGGTTATAGTTTGGAGAGTGAATAGACATTATTTAGCCACTTTCCATCAGGTGAGATGGAGGTCAAATGTGCACTTACATTTTATTAAAAAAAAGACTCGCTCCGTGGCTCTTTGTGGCTCTATGTGTAGACTGTATGTAGACTTAAATGTCGATCTGAGTTTTTTTATTGTAAACAATATTCACACGCAATCTACTAAATTCAAAACATTTTATAGGTTAAAAAAATAAGCTTCACAGTAGAATACTATTTGTGAATTCGTGTTCATTGCACAATTATCGTAAAATTACATTTATCGCTTGACTTCACAAGAGCTATTTTAATTTTAAAATGTAAATAGATAAATTATGCGGCCAATGTGCCGTTGTTGTTTAATCATTTTCGGTTTTCTTCATGTTTTTTTAAGAATTATAATAATATAACACTTTCACGCTTCATTTAAAACTACATATGATTATTATTACAACAGTCTGAAATTGTCAACAACGAGATGAATATGAGTTAAAAATATCAGATAATTGTTATTAAAAAAAAATTGTTTTACGTTGTTATTATTGTAGCTTAATTACTGAGAGCTTTAAACGAGCCATGCAGATATTTTTCTGATAATAATGTTACCTTGTTAAGTTTAAAAGATATCTGCCAATTTGTTCCTATAGTGATAAAAATCTATAACAAAAAAACAATTGATACTATTATGACTTGGTCATGGAGAGTTTTCAGCGAATTGTTTCTTGTTTTTACAGTTAATAATTTTACCTTTTTAAATTTAAAATAATTTTGTCATGTTGTTTCTCTAGTTAATAAAATCTGTTTTAATTTGCCACGTAGAAAACTATTACTGTTGTGCCTTGATCACTGAGAACTTTAAAGGAGTCGTTTAACTTTTGTTTCTGTTGATAATGTTTGCTTCTTCAGTTTAAAAGATATTTTCTTATTTTAGTCCTAGAGTTATAAAATATATATTTATTTACAACAAAAAAAAAACTTGGTTGGTGAGAGCTTTTAGCGGGTCATTAATCTATTTTTTTACTGTTCATCACATTACGAGTACCTTGTTAAGTTTAAAATATATTCTGTTATATCATTCCCGTCTGTATTAAAATCTACATTCATTTACAGCAAAACAATGTTATGATAATGTAATCGTTAATTAATTGTAATAATATACTATTTAGATTCATGATTATGTAGTTATGTGCGCATGAGCAGTAACAACTTATTATGTATGCGATTTACATCAATCATATTAATGTTTTTGCCAATGGATGACACGAATTCTACAGCTCCGTTTTTTACTGTCGTTTTTACATTAACCAAAAATGTTTTCTTGTTGAAATATAAGGAATAGAATATCATTAGTTTCATATGAAATTTAAGATTACTATCAAAGTTCATTAATTAACGTATCTTCTGTTTAATGGTAAAACCACATAAGTGACATTTTCGACAAAAAGCCTTTAATTTATATAGATATGGTAATTCTCAATAACAAAAAAGCTATAAACTTAATAAGAGTTTTATCTGCAGAAAGATCGTGAATTTCTTACAACTGGTACATAATTTGGAGATTCTTTGTGGAAAATGTCACTTATGCGGTTTTACCTTTAAGCAGATGATATCATAGAGAAAAATCTGTTGTATGTTTCATTGCACAGGAACTACAATGTATTTAATTATTAATACAAAGATCGAACACTCAGAAAAAATTCCTTCGATCCGGTCGGATTCGAACCGACGTCTTCTTGCATACCGTCCCAGACGCTATACCAACTAAGCCACGGAACGAACCAACGGACCTCACGAATTCTTCTATGTGCTTGCGTCGTGTCTTTGTACTTAGTCTTTCAATTACTTTTTAGTCGTAGCGCCATCTATGAGAAATCTATTGCAGATTTATAGCGTCTAGCACGGTATACAAGAAGACGTCGGTTCGAATCCGACCGGATCGAAGGAATTTTTCTGAGTGTTTTTCTGAGTGTTCGATCTTTGTATTAATAATTATAACAAACTAGTGGAGTAATTTCACAAAAAATAATTGAATATCAATTCAATAAAAATTTAATTAATACAATGTATTTATATAAAATATTATTATTTATTATTATTATTTTATGATATAAAGTGACGGGACGAACAAATTCAACGCCTAACCATAACAGTTACAGTGCCACTCAGAGATTAAAATAATTTTGTCACCCTGAGACATAAAATTATTTACTGATTTTCCAAGGAGTTCATGTTGTATTTATGTGTCATAATATAATAAATTGTGATGTTTATGTGTCCACTTTCACGTAAATAAGGTATATCAGTCACATTAGCATTATTTGACTTGTTTAATTTAAGATGCCAAAGAAAACTAAAACTTTTAAAAAAATCAAGTAACGGGACGAACAAGTCGTGCGCCTGATGGTAAGCTACACGCCTGTCCATAACAGTTACAGTGCTCACTCACTCAGAGCTTTAAATCACAAAGATATGACTTGTACTGCCACTTGGCCCGTCACCCTAAGACATAACTTAACAAATCCCATGTGCCTGTAATTTCACCAGCACTTTTACCCTTGAAAACCAGTAATTCTGTAATGCTTACATTACTGCTTGGCGGCAGAAATCGGTAAGGTGGCAGTACTTCCCTGGACGAACTCTTTCACAAGGAGCTCTACTGCTACTAAATTTTCGCTTTGTCAGATAGATACAGAATAGATAGTTAGAAACTAAACGGGCGGTCATGTGCTCAATTTGCGTGATTTTAAGGTTTCAGTTATTATTTACTTAGCGATTACCTTATTCTTTTTTTAAATATAAAGTAGAAGGCAAGCGTACAGACTAGCCACTTCTTATTCACTCCTCTCTCACTCCTCTGGTGATGCCAATGCGTTATTATACTTTGGACACCTTGTTTACTCGCCTCATGAAAAGCCCCATATCATAGGAAATACTTCAGGATGGAGTCCACTCTACATCTTGCAGGTTCGAGGAAAGTAGGGATATTAAGCTCGCGTGATCAGTGATTAATACTCTCCCCGCACCACGTCCTATTCCTTTCCAGTACATCTAGCGCACTCTGGGTAATACTGGGTATTCGCAGATGAGTACTTTACGCCAATTGTCACATCCTTTCATCACGCAAGGATTACAGTGCATTTTTTTTATAATACCAAGTAACGGAACGAACTAGTCGTACGTCTGGTGGTAACGCCTATCTATATCAGTTGCAGTGCCACTCGAAACATTAAATCGCAACGGTCATAGGGGCATTGCCACTGCGCTCATCACCTTGCGACATAAGTTGATAAGTCCCATGTATTTGTAATTTCACTAGCAGCAGCACCCCTACCCTCCCAAACCGGAACACAGTAATGCCTATATTACTGCTTGGCGGCAGAAATAGGTAAGGTGGCAGTACTTCCTAGGACGAACTCTTTCACAAGGAGTTTTACTGCTACTAAAATGCCATCAGTACAATAAGAAGAAGTATGACAAGCATCAATGATGTGGGTATGGGTTCTACTCCTTTGATGAGACGTGCGATTGTGAAAACTTGTGAAAACGTAACATATCTTAACTCGGTGATATTTGCTGTTGAAATACCGTTGTAAGAATCCAGTACGTAAAAATAATCTTTAATATGTTCTACTTTATTCATTATAATAATTACGTAAAGACCACCGGACGTAAATTCGTTGACATATTCATTCTAAAACATTATTTCTTTAATAAAAAAATACTTCCAAATTTCTTTACTTTTGTGCTTTTAAAAACTACGTAAACAAATTTCTGAACCCTAAATCATTCTAAACACCACAAAACTTACAAATACAACTTACTTGATGAAAAAAAAATACTTACGAATAGTCTTAGAGGCAGCGAATGCTAACAGCACGAATATTAGCAGCAACTCAAAAACCAGGGAGAGCTTCATTTTGAAGACTCTATCCCTGCCTGAAAAGACAGATAAATATTTATTCTCTAGGATATATAAAAAAAACTAGAAGTATGTAGGTCCGTACTAAGGAAACCTTGTAATATCAATATATGGAGAATTACGCAATATTTTAATAAATAAATAAGTTAAATGAAAATGAAATGAAAAATGAATATGAAAAGCATATAAAAGTGATGAACTTCAAATTTCAATTTGTATTGATTTTTGATGCTCGAATTGTTTTCTAATAAGTTGTTAATATACCAACACATTATGTGACATATAAATTCATCATTCATTCATCAACTCATTTATACGTCCAAGTCCTAGCAGGAAGAGCTATAAATAATAAGTAAAAATTATTTAATAAATATTTAATTTAAATTCTTATGGTTGTCAAACTGGTTCATTTTTATCACAAACACACGCGCGTTAAAATCTTTTCTTAGAAACTAATTCTTGGAACCTCGTTCGCGCAATTTCGCTTAGTGCACAATATGAATTTTCATTTTTGCATTTTCTTTAGTTCATTACTATCGTAGACGTAAAGTTGATAGATTATACATTTTCATTAGGTATCAAATAATAATATACAAATAATTTTATTATTATTTATGAAAAATAATTAAACGGCCCCAAAATCTTTAAACTTTTATATTGAAACCGGCTAACAATGATCAATAACGTAACACAATCACTCACCTTAAATAAAGTTCTCAATTGCCAGAAAAAATAATAAGATCACTGAAACAACAAACAGGACGTTCTAACGTGCGAACGGTAACGAACGATTTATAGAAATCACTGGCCCTAAAAATACAGACGACACCGGCGTATGCGCAACACTGCTTTGATATGACCACAACTCGCACCCGGAGAAATGCTCACTGACGTATTAGCTGACGAGAAAGGAAAACTGCCGGTGTTTTGTCCTTCTCTCTCGTTAAACAACTGTAAGAGAGAGGTGAAAGTTAAAGACGCACTTGGTCGATTATGTAGAATTCAGTGTCAAGCGTTCAAGTCAATACTAACAGCGTGATTATAGCCGTATCACACGTTTCACACTTCATTTTATGCGTATCTTATTATGGCCATTGCGTGGAAATAGATTTCGTTTCACTAAAAGTAGGGCAAATGCTCTTGTTTAGACGTCTCTAAAACATCGAAGACTTTTCCTTGTCTCTAATGAACAAAATAAACATACTGTATATGGACGTCTGACACGATCTAGATACCTATTATAAGATGTGAGAGAAAAGTCATTCCATGTCCTAATTATTGATCAAAATAATTAATACAGGTATAATAAATTATAATCAGATCATAGTAACATAGCAGGCATACTATAATTGCCCCAAATACGTCTTAAATTTAAATCCCTGTGTACGCTATGTGTACGCAATATTTTTTAAACTACAAAATATATTTAATGAGATTTATGCTGTCGAAGTATGTACGTTTCGTGGAAGCACGTTTCTTTTCTCAGTAATTTCTAGAATCTCCATAAAGCGTGCATTGCTCTCGGATATTATACCGCCATCGTGAAATGGTCAGTGAACATTTTGTAAATTAGTAATTGATTAATTACGTATGCCGTGGTTATTTAATGCACAGTTATTAATTTTTTTAACTACAACACACTTGGTTCGTAATAGGAAAGATTGTTACGATGTGAAATTCGGAAACTGTATTATTACTTCTTTTGTGTGAGTTACAATTGTTCAATAAATCGTATACTGTGTGTAAGTAAATTGAAAAAAATTATTATAACAATTTTATTTTTAAAAAGTCATCAAAATACTTCAAAATTTTGTGGAATTACATCTGTTAGCCAAGTTTTATTAAAATTGGTTAACGGAAAATGGGTAAAACCAAATAAACCAGGTTCATCACCCAATTTGTCACTCTTAGAGTTGGAATATTTTCTTCGAATTTGAATGGGATCGCTACTGAGGTATCTCCTTTCCAATAAAAAAAAGAATCATCCAAATCATTTCACAAATATCGGATTAATCGCGTGACATACGCACACAAAAAATACAGTCGAATTGAAAACATCCTCCTTTTTTGAAGTCGGTTAAAAAGCCGCTAATAGTTTTACGTGATTTACAAATTCATAAATATAATTTGCAAACTTCGTTAAATATTACTTCAACGTACATATTTACTATGTAGTTACGACTACTTTTTACGTATTCCTTCATCACGCCAATTCTCACCAAGCCTACAAGATGAAGGTCGCAGCGCCCAAGCGTCCGGGCTACGTACTTACGACATGGTCACTTTCTACACGGAGAAAGTAGTCGGCGCCGAATTCTGAAGCCTCATACGCCCGCGCCTCTGCTTCCCGCTCCATCCTTTTATTTATTATACATACACTCCCTTTTATCTCTATAAATACGACCCTCATACTCTTATGAGCGTCGGCTAAATTGAGAAATTACTGTATTTTTTAAGTTTATTGAAAGATAATGCTACATTTAATGGAATGTCTCCATTATATGGCTCTAAGAAGTCAATTTCAATTAGGGAATATTTGGCAGGTTGTGGAGTTAAACGTTGTGTTGGGTGACACGTTGGCGAAGAGGGCTAAAACTCTATACTCATAATTATGTGAAGTCTTGTCTCTCACTACGAGGCGACACTATAGGGATTGGCATCACAAGGCCGACATTGACACCCAAGTGTTAACAAGCGTTATTAAAAACAGATAAAAAAAAGTTTATTGAATGTCAGGATGTTTTACTACCATGATATTCTATTATTTTCTGTGAAATTACTCCACTGGTTTGTTATAATTATAATACAAATTCAATAAGCTTAAACATTACAATTATTGAAGCGACGTCTCTTGTCAGCTCCGGGTAGCTGTAAAGAAATAGAAACTGAGTGAAGAAATAGATTTCTCACAGTCGCTACGGCAAAAAAGTCGTTAAAAACCTAAAACAAAGATCTGCAACAAGGACATAGCAAAAATCGTAAAGTCTGCTGGTGCGTTCCGTGGCCAAGTAGGTAAAGCATCTAGCACGGATTGCAGGAAAGCGCTGGTTCGAATGCAGCCGGATCGAAGGAATTTTTCTTAGTGTCCGATCTTTGAGCCCATAAACACTTACTTACTTTACGTACTTAAAATTATTGCACGGCAAAGCAACATTCCTAAATTTCAAAATTTTGTAAATCCTCCCTCTCCCACCAAATAAAATTTGCTGTGCCCCACAGGGTCGATAATGCGCTATTAACTTAGCTTTAAGCCATTTCCATCTATGTAACATTATGGTAAATGCAATAAAGAATTGAGTTGAAAGAAAATCCATAAACCTGTTACGTCGTACGTCGGCACAAAAACAGAATTACTTACTATATGATAATCTATGATTATACCTTTATTTTCTAATTAAAAAAGGGTCTAGAAATTATATTTTAAGTTTAATAAAACAATGACTTCGTCCAAAACACGGAATTACGAGGTTTACGAATTTAGCCGAGTATGGCATTAACTTAGGAAATGAAACTATTTTTCCGGATTTAAATCGCGTATATTTGTTTTTTCTAACAAACCAACGTTTCGGGCCCTTTACAGTCACGGTTGAGTCAACCGTGTGTAACAATGTGTAATAATCGCGAAAACCTAAGAACTCGATATACCATTAACTAATAAAAGATTTATGGGAAATTTATTACTGTATTCGAGAAGCATGGAGTATATTGCTAGAAATAGAGACGAAATGTCATTTAATTTGTTTCAAACTATTCTGCCAAATCATTACGGTGACAACTGCGCTCCGATTGGCCAGCTCGAATTCGAAACAATTGACGGGTGTCGTCAATTATTTAACGTCAAATCGACCAGTTTAACTAGAAGTTTTGCTATAATGGACGACAATTAAAAAATTACATATTTAATATTTAATTACCGATGTTATGTCATTCTGTTTGTTTTGTAATTAGATGTATTGCTGTTTTTCCCACACCACCCGATGGAACAGTCCCCTATAGTTAGATATATTATCTTTATTACAATAAATACAGAATATTTTTGGAATAGACGGAGACGTACACACAGGTCAGTTGTTGGCTCTGTATTATTTCAGCAGCTTGATTTTGATTGCCTCTCCCGATCGGAAACAGCGTCTTTTCCGAGTCGAGGCGTATCATATTGCGGATAGGCTGCCCGATCGGATCGATTTCGGTTTGAATTAAAATCAGGGCCCTGGTTTCCAATTTGTGATTTCAGTGCAAACGAGAGTTGATATTTAAAAGTGATATAAGGCACATTTGCCTGATGAGTTGCCAGGGATGAATGGCCCTTATTTCTGGTTATATACTCGATACGGGAAGTGCCGTTTGATTGGTGTTTAGAATAGTCGAGTGAATAAAACTCTTAATTTTTCTGCTGGAATAACTTGAATGTATCGTAAAATTAGGACCAAAATTACCTACTATAATTTTTGGGACTTCTTAGACGATTTGCACCACTTAGTTGTTTATATAAACTTCGTATTTAATAGAGTTCACAAATTTTAAACAAAATTCGAAAAGTCGTAATCATCCAGGTGATTTAATTTCAAAATAACGTAAAACTACCAAAAAAAATCCGCCACACTGATCCAATGCAGTTTGGCGATACGTTTTTCAACGGTTATGAATTTCCTTCAAATGATAATAACAATAACAAAGCCCATGAGCACAGGCCTCAGAAACAGAGGGCTTTTGCTGTAGTTCCCACGCGGGCCAAATGCCGATTAGGAACTTCACACATACCATTGAATTGCATTTTTTTTTCAGTATTTGTTTTTTGTATTTAATTATTATTTTATTTTGCAGATGCGTGCAGGATTCCTCACGACGTTTTCCTTTACCGAATGCTCACGGTAAATTTCAAATAAAATTTCGCACGACACTCTGAATGAGAGGTGGTAATTTTCTTCAACAAGGTTTTATTTATTACGTTTTCTTTTACTGTTATATTATACATAGCTTTGAAAGTAAAGCTGCCTTACCTATATTTACCACCAAGGAGTAATGAGAGCATAATTGCGTTTCGGTTTTGAAGGATTTAGGGTGCTGGTGAAATTACAGGAACATGGGACTTTTCAACTCATGTCTCAGGGTGTCGGGCACCGGGGCAGTGCCCCTCAGATCTTTGCGATTTAAAGCTCTGACAAAACAGCTGCTAAACGTTCTGTACCTACGTAGAATGTGAAGGCTTGGATATATGCTGCCAAAGATATTAAAAAGCAACCGTAATGGGCTACCACCGCCCAAAGTTTAAGTAAAGGTTAAGTTTTTAACCTACTTCAAAAAAAAAGGAGGAGGAAGGGAGGTATGTATGTTACGCGATAACTCTTGTTTGTGAAGTTGTGAACCGATTTTGATGTTTTTTTTTTTTTTGAAAAGAGGATACCTCAGAATTCATCCCATTTAAATTTGAAGGAAATATTCCACCCCTAAGGGTGGCAAACTAGGGATAACTAAATAAAACTTAGCAAATAGATGTAATTTCACAAACTTTGAGGTCCATGCTTTTTTATAAAAAAGTTACAATTATATTTATTACACAAAGACCATAATTGAAGCCATTCTAAAGTCATGTGAGTGAAAATGGTTGAATATAAATATTGTTACTACACTCTCTCCAAATGATAAACAAATCACTTTCTAGGACATAGTTTCGTTTGATTTACGCATTTGCTCTTGTATGCTGTTTGAAAGTACGTTTGTGGATGACTCAGAAGATAATCAACGCCAAGAGTATGATGTAACAAGAAAGTGCTAATGCAGTGGACGTATATTGTGTGACACAAGTATGCTTTTGTGAAAACAAACGATCAGTTCTCTTTCTGGTCCATTTGATAATTAACACTTGGAAGTTTCGGTGAAATATTTAATGACGTAAGTAACGCTATCAATAATAAGAATTATGTAAAAATTTACTTAATAGAACTTATATATTCTTATATTATTACTTGACTTAGGTATATATAATAATACTAATAATAATACTTCTAGTATAATAATACTTCGTATTATTAAGCTTTACTAATGTGAGTCCATTTTCTTCAAGAATATTCTGCGATCGATGACCTCGATGTAGGGCAGTAGAGCGCGATGCACTTGCCATCGTGCACGTCTAGCCTATACCATCGCTCACACAGTATTGTCCATTTCTTCCGTGGTACATCACAAGCAATGGTGTTGCATACATATAAGGTGACGTTTATCTGTATGTTAGGTTGTATTTATTAATAGTTAAAAGTTTGTGGCTCCTCAACACAAGGAGGTTGGTTTATATTTATACAGAATATAAAGTTAGCTAGGAAAACGTATGAAAATGTAAAGGGAAAAGAATACAAGACTATTTATTAAAATCTAAACTTTAATAATACAACTGGCTTATTCAAAATTCACATGTTTCTAAGGAACTTTTTTATGTCGTTTCTAAAATATATAAATGCGATATAATTTTTAATCATTAATTCATACACTCCCGGTTTTTACACAATAAAACACAAAAAAGTGCAATATTTTGTCATCCCGTGAATCCACTCGTAATAGTTTGTACTGTCGATGAAATCACCCGTCTAATTAATTGAAACATACTGTTGACTGTTATGTAAAATAGAAATGCCAACGTCTTCTGATCCGACGACTCTGTCATATCGTAGTCGCTTTCTCGATGCATCTCACTGATGCATGTCATTATTATACAGTGTTATGCTTTATTTAAATTTCACCTTCTATTGTGAGCGAGGTGAAACGGGTGGAGCGAGATCCGAGGAAAGGAGCAGTGTGGGCTCGGCTGTGGCGACGATCGCCTCTTTCGAATCTACTGCGGTCCGGCTACTCCGCGTCCTTATAAATCGGGTTAATTTTACTTACAATTCAAGTTATTCATATATAAATTGCTTTAGCGCGTGTTGACCGTGGGATCGCCATGTCGGTCAAGCTGACACTTTCGCTACTACTCGTTGCGCTCGCCGTTGCTAACGCCGCTAGTATTTTAGGTAAGTATTTGTTGCTTCATTAGAAAGTATTTAACGTAACAAGATGGTAATCAAATGCCGTGTCAGTATGTAACGTTTGTTACAAATACGTTTACATTGTATCGTCAGTGAGAATTAAATCAAGCCTCTATAATAACTTTCATTAGAAAGTTCGATGCGGGTTTTTTTTTTTGTTTTTATCAGTCCGATATTCACTAATGTTACTAAAACGTTTTCACTGACTTTCGTTTTATACGAAATAGTAACTTATTATATTTATTTTTTTCATACGAACTCTTGTCCGACACATTTTATAACAAGTGTACTATGTTCATGAAGTTACTGGACTGATAAATCCCCTAAACATCGTTACTTAACGTCCAAAGTTCAAATGACGTAACCGAACAATAGATCAAAAATCTGACTCTTACAACAACATTATAACTCACGCGCAGTGAAAGTGGCGAAACTGCTTCGCGTGAAAGTGGCCAAAGTGCACGCATTTTGGACGCAAAAAACATAATCGATTTGATAATCGTACTGCACGCGAAAAACAATGTTCTGCAGTTTCCGTTTAATTCATGTATTACTTTGTTAGCCATTTATTAGCCAGGTAATAGACTAAGTAGACGTGAAGAATAATATATGAGACCAGTGAACCATAAGGAATCAACGGGGAAGTTTTTTAGAGTCTATACGCTTTGTGGCGTGATATTATAGGGGAATACTAAAGTCCGTAAAAGCCAGTGTTTACATAGTAATATTCGGGATATTGAGTATCTAGTTGAATATTTCCCTTCTTTTATCAAATTCTATTTTGTATGCAATACCCAGCAACTTCTTTATAGGCTTCCAGTCAATCTATCAATCTTAATTAAGATGTAGGTACAGTATAAGTGGCCTAAGCTCAGCAGTGGAAGATTGTGGACTAAAATACATGATAGAAAACATTTAAAGGACCACTTAATAGAATACAAGTTCCTTGCAAACACAAATATAAACACACGGATTTTTTACATCGTAAATATAATATGAGGATCGCAAACCTTTCATTAGGTATTTAAAATCCATGTATTTTATTTACTTTTCAATATATATCTATATTTTGCTATAGCATGTCACGATTTTTATTTCAAAATATAAAATATACATTTAAAAAATATGTCAATAGAAATGAATAAAGGATGTGTTTACTTTCAACTTTCCAATAAAAATGAGATATGATAGCTGTTTGAAAAAGCAGGCTTAAGCTAAATACGAGAAACATTAAAATTTATGATACTTCCCTGCCTATGAACACTACTCATATATATTATGACATCGTATATTACTCTTAGTCCGTATAAGATCACTGTTGCTCAGAAAAAGAAAGCAAAATTCAATGACTACCTTTCCCTATGAATAATTAGGGCGACCAAATCCGGTGTGAGCTTTCTTAATGCTGTCTGGACTTCAGGTACTGGTTTATTGCTAAAGATAGAACTTGTTCTTAACAGACGACTTCTTATAACGTTATAAGTAGGCCACAAAGGCTGACAATTCAAGTGTATCATAAGTTACATGGTTACACCAGACTAAAAAACCATTGGAGAAAACATGAAATTGAAAACTCTTTAACCTTATAAGGACGGTTAGTATATTATGATTATTATTTATTAGTAGTAGTGAGCCTGTGTGTATACTGACGGATAGATGTATAGGTACTGACCTCAAGGCTCTACTGAGAATTTCGCCAGAAGGGCGTACATAGGAGAGCAGCGGCCCTAGAATATGCCGCTAACGCGAGTAGACGCACGCTCATGTGAGGTTATTCATGGGTTATTCTGTATGGAATGTGAAGTATACATACCGTTACACAAAAATAGATTTTGTTTGTGGTCTCAGACTAAGGAATGAGTACAAAAGCATCGATGTAAAAGGCCACTACCAAAAACACCCAGCCCAAACCATAGATATAGAAATGGCCCAAACTACTTCCCAAATTGGTTCTACCGGAGATCCCTTATCCACAAAGCTAGCCGCTGAGCTTGTGTTTACTTACCTTGCGTTGACAATGTCATGATGAACGTAAATTTGGGTTACCCTGTCGATTTAGAAATTGGTTCATTAGAAAGAAAATGTACTTGGAGCATATTTGACTTGCCCAAATGACAAAATTGTATTGATATTGTTGACGCCTGATATAAATAAAATTGCAATGTCATTCACCAACGTAATGGATGAATTTTTGATTAAGGTAGATTATAAACTTTTAATTTTGTATGTTTCTCTTTTACTCTCTTTACTCTTTTTATTGCAAATTGAATTGCAAAGAAATTACTGGATTTCATTGAAGAAGATCTATTCTTGCGCTAAAGCAAGAACGTTTGGCGACCTTGACAATACACAAACCTGCAATCTTCGGATACATAAATTCATCTATTACGTTGGTGAACAACATTGCCGTTACATTTATGTCAAGCGTGAACAGATATGAAAAAAGATACGGTAGTTTTATTACATGTATTTATTATTCTGCCCTCCGAATCATAAGTATCATAATCGACATTTTTAGCGAAATTGAGTTATTAATATATTATACTGACTTTTTTAAATCAAATCAAATCATTTATTTCTTTGTGATACACAGGTTATAAAGTTGTAGCAAATAATGAATTTTGAATAACTGTGATCCGTCTTCGCGCATTTTAACAATTTTTTTCATCTTAGATTTTTCGTAATTTTCATGCAATAATATGTAACGTATTGCAATCATGCAGTCCAATTACGGGAATTTGATTCTAATAAAAACGTAATAACAATAGTAAAATACAACAACGACAGGTTTATTATGTAACAGTAAAGGATAACAGTATGCTCTGCGGGAAAAACTGTTTTCTTAGATCAAATGTTTTTGGAAATATATTTTAACTTATCAACGGTGACGCTTTATCTATAAAACAATGGACATTACTCAGGTGTATCATAAGTAAAATGTAATGTAAATTTTATAAGAAATCTTCAGTATTGTGGAATGTCATATCATTTAAGTAATTAAATAATAATTTCTTAAATTAAATAATTTCTTAAGTTTTTCACGATCTAGTTTTCAGTTGATCAGAACGGCGCTGATGTAGCTCTCAAAGAAAAAACCTTAGATACCAATATCTTAGAAGTCATCAAAATGCAAAAGTGTTGAGCGTTTACACACGACGACTTTTAGACGATACAGTAGCGATGCAGTCCAATCGCGCGTTTCACGAACGCGTGTAACATAAAAAACTCTTAGTTATGATAAGGAGGGTAATATTGCTTTTTATTTCAGTTTCCCAATAGTTTTAGGCTCAACTCACATTGACGCAGAGTCGAAGCGTCGCGTCGCGTCCTGTTTTTCAACTACACCGCCTAGCGACGCGCGACGACGCTTGCATTATTGCGCGAGGGATCACAGTTTGGTCGGCGTCTGACGCCTCACAGCGCCCAAGTGACGCGCGGCGACGCGCGAAGCCGCTTGATTCCATATTTGCAAAACACAAATTTGTACCTTAATAATGGGAAAATATAGATGAATATGCTAGGCGAAAAACATGACGTGTCGCGACGCTTCGATCCTGCGCCAGTGTGAGTTAAGCCTTAGTAATTTTGTAATTAAGAGTGCGAAGACGTTGCACTTTGAATAGTTTTTTTTTTTTGTTTTTAACTCCTTAACTTACTTTATTTTTATCTTGTGTGTACTTGAAATCAAATTATATATTGTTACTGTTACAGACTACCTCGACTTCGACGACAGTAAGAAACTGATAGCGGTTCCCGAATTGCGACAAGAGCAACCGAATCGAAACTGCCTTTGCAAAGGCCCTGCCTGCGTTTGCTGCGTCGACTTCAACATTACATTTGTCGATCTCGGCGGGCCAGGTAGGAAAAATACTAAACATTTTACGTTTTGTCATTCGTTTTTTACTATTTAAGGAATTGCGTTGTTACTTATTCAATGTCATTAATTAACATCTAAAACACAATGCCAGAATTAGCGGCATGCACAAATGCGTATCGCAATGTACCAAGAAGATTCAAAATTTGTAAACATTTGTTTCCTAATACCATACAAAAATACTACTAACTTATAGGAACACCCAAAAGTCAATGTTACGAAAACATCAAAAACATTACTTGAAGTCAAAATTACATCAAGCTTTAACCTTTGTTCATAAGCGACGTAGAGTTGAATTTAAATCTTATGAAGCGTGAAACACATAGAGAGCGGGTTCAGGTTGGGCGCAAGACGGACGCACGCGCCCGCACTCAGTGTGTTGTCGTTCATATAAATACACGAAATTAGACCCGCTGCGGTTCCGACCCGTCACGCGCGCGCTCATCACCCGCTCTCTGTGTGTTTAGCGCTTTTAGTGTCAAGCATGACGTGATCTGAATATTGGAATTCGTAGTCTGTGGCATTAGTAGTCGTAAAAATGTAACCATCTATTGTCACCATCCATTTCAATAGATGGTTACATTTTTAATATTATATGTGTATTTATATTTAGAAAGATAAGAGCATTTTAAAATTATAATTACTTTCCACTTTTTAGGATGTGTTCACATGAAATATGTCTCGCCAGAAGAAGGATTTTCTGTGAACGTCTCCTACGGCAAAAATCTTATTCACAGCTCCAAAATTCAAGGTAAAAACAGAATACTTACTCTCTTACTTAATCAAATTGAGGACATCCTCAAAAAGACTGACGACTGAGGTGAAAGATGAAGGAACGTAGGAAGTGGAAGGCTATGGTCTCTGTCTATCCGTAGAAAAAGGCGTGAAGTATATGTGTTATGTAATACCTAGCTGTGTTCACTGTACTGTACTGTAATTTTCTAATATACCATCAAACATCAAACCTTTGAAGGAAGACAAATACCTGTTGATATCTTATTAAAGATTATTTAAATTTAATTAGAATAGCGCAAGTATCTACGTATGTGGGTAATAGTAATTAACTTAATAGTTAAATTAAATTTATTTATTATTACTAATTAATTATTTTTAAATTAATAGTAATTAATAGTACCTTTTAGTAGCAGTAGGTCCAGTAAAGTACTGCCACATTACCTATTTCTGCCGCCAAGCAGTAATGTGAACATTACTGCGTTCCGATTTTGACTTTTTTATATATAATATTAATTGACGGGACGAACAAGTCGTGCGCCTGATGGTAAGCTCTGAGGGGCCATGCCACTGCGCCCGTCACCCCGAAACATAAGTTGACAAGTCCCATGTTCTTGTAATTTTACCAGCACCCTTACCCTTCAAAACTGGAACACAGTAATGCTGACATTACTGCTTGGCGGCAGAAATAGGTAAGGTGGCAGTACTTCCCTGGACGAACTCTTTCACAAGTAGCTCTAGTGCTAGTAAATTTCAGGCACATGGGACTAATCAGCTTATATCTCGATTTGCGCAGTGGCTGTGCCCTGAGTGGCACTGCAACTGCTGTGGTCAGGCGTGTCACTTATTACCAGGCACACGGCTTGTTCGTCCCGTCACTTGGTATTATAAAAAATACCTATAAATACTATAGAATATTTATGGAGGTCGATAAATAAAGTTTACCTCGACGCTACAGAGAAATTAGCCAATAAAATTTATTTACTTTAGAAAGTCCGCACTTTCTGCACCGAGATTTGCTATCTATCGTAAACATGCGTCTAGTTATTTTCACTTTACGATAATTCACTTTGGTTGCCACGATGTAATTAGTATTAAGGAGGAATGCATTCTTGTAAAATTAATTATACAACTTACTTTTTCGACCAAATCAGTTTACTGTCTCGTTTCATTTCTCTGTCATAAGTATTATAATTTATCATGTAATCGAGACCGCGTTGTCGCCGCGCAGCGACCGCGTGCTGCTGAAGTGCGACCAAATTTTCCTACGCCTTTTTTTAATCCAGCCGATTGGAATAACTGGTGGACCTGCTACCCCATATTGCAGGGTGTTGTTTATATTCTCTATAAATTCTTCAATATGATTATCATTCATCGTGGTTAATTTAAAAAATTGACATGTACACCGTGATTGCAACCGAGCCTGACTGCAGCGCAGCTGTCGCGCGGCAGATGCGCGGTTGCAGCGCTTCTAAAAATTGTATGAAAAGTGATAGTCGCGCGACCGCCGCGCGACTGCAGTGCTGCTGTAGCGCGTCTAACACCAGCTACTTCGAACGCGCCCTAACTATCATGGCAAAGTACGCTCTATTCATTTAGCTTTTACGTTTTAACTTAAATGAGCATCCCGGGCGCGCGGGCGAGGCTGGCTTGTCTTTGATCTACGCGGCGACCGCGCGGTTTTATTGTTCAGAGGAATTTTAATGTTGTTGTCTAGTAAACACAATTCAGATTCGCCATTAAAGCGTGGGAACTGGGCTTTCACGTTGTGTAACTGGGCACCTATGTAACTATTAAGTAGTATTCAAATTGTATTATTAGTTTCTTACTGGGTGCATATAACATTTTAAATGTAATAATGTGGAATTTAATATGAATTAGTTGAATAATTTGGCACCTTGGCATAATTTGACAAAATTCGAGACAGCGTACTGTTAATTACTGGTGTTATTATTATTGCAAACATCCGCATAAAAAAATTTATTACGAACAAATTGATATTACGCGTTCCATGTATGTTTTCTTACAGGCGCTAATCCAGAGCCGATTTGTTTGGAAGTATTCGGCAAGTTCGCACAAGTTTGCGCCAAGTTCAGTGACCTTGCACCAACGGCTGATGGCCTCAGAGGATGTTTGGAGCTCACACCTAAACTGCTGGGTGAATCGCAACTAGAGTTCCCGATCGGTTGCTTCAAGTCCACAACAGGAGGAATGGAAATGGAAGATCCGCCGGAAGAGTAAGTATTTAGCAGTTTCAAAACGTTACGGTTTAAGGTGGTTTTCCACCGACGAGGTGAGACGAGGATAGAAATTTGTATGAACACATTTCAATTCTCTCCTAGCCCGTCTTCGGTGGAAATGGTCTGGATTGACGAGGATGGGTGCATGAGGCAATAACTGAAATATTTGTTAATGTAATATTAAAAAAGGGGATAATTTTGACAATGAAAAGGTAAAAATAGTACAGGCTCGGAGTAATAACAGCAGTAAGTATATTTAAAGTAATGAATAATAAAGAAGAATATTATATCATTTTAATGTAAAAAAACCAACTTGAAAAGACATCTATTTGCCAAGTTTTATTGCAATCGGTTAATGGAAGTGGGTGAAATCCATCGATATGGGAAAAAATCCAAAAAACCGAATTCACCTCCTAATTTGCCACTCTCATAAGTGAAATATTTTCTTAAAATTTGAATGTAACTACCAAACCCAACTTTTTGTCGGAAAGGGGTACCTTTCCCACAAAAAAGAGTTATCGAAATCGGTTCACAAATGTCGGAGTAATCGCGTAACATACGCACAAAAAAAAAACACTTAAATTGTGGACCCTTTTTGAAGTCGGTTAAAAACACTTTCTTTTCTGCACAGAACCACTGAAGAAAACACAACTGAAGAGAACAACGCGGACGAAAACAATGGTTTTGACGCTGAGACTTTCCTCCTTGGTGTATATCAAACCGCGGAACAAGGAGTTGCCTTCCTTTCCAGCCTACTAGATTTGCCCAACAAATTCAATACAACGAAACCTACCCAACCAGAGCTCACAACGACTACGCCAGTAGAAACTACAAGCCCAGAAGGTGTCCAAAGAGCTCCGAAAAAACTGAAGCATCCCAACCAACTGTGATATCCATTCGCTTCCTGATTTGTTTTTAGTACAAAGAGGCATTTCTTAGAAATTAGCCGCTACACTGCGTAATTTTATGTCGATTAATCCTATTTATTGCTTTAATATGTGTAACTTTTTGCTAGATGTATTTTATTTTTAATTTTGGTAAAAAAAAATAAAAGACTGGACACTTGTACGTTGCTTCGAATTTATAAACATAAAAAAATACCTTCAGTTAAAAATATAAGGAGACATTTTTCATCCTCTGTAGGACTTGAACGACAGGGCGCAGCTTACGCGAGAGCGACATAAAGCTCGAGATCTATCGCATAGACAGCGAGATACTGTATACTATACTGCGAATAGCAGTATCTCGCGCTTTATGTCGCTCTCGTGCAAGTCGCGCCCTGTCGTGCTAGTCCTAGTGAGAATGGAGAAACAACATTGGTTACCATAAACCACAATCTTTTTAGTCTAAAAATAGGTTAGTCGTATTTTGGTTTTTAGAAGCCACTGTAGTAGACAAAACTCAATAGAATCAGTTTCGGGTATACTTTATTTATATTACTTGCGAATACTTCATTCATACAGCGGCTTCGGCTACTCGTTCTCAGACGCTCAAGTCGCAGGCTGCTGGCCGATAGGCCCAACTCGATGAAAAACTGCCTCCGTGGCCGAACGGTTACCATGCCGGACTGCCACGCAGAGGTCCTAGGTTCGATTCCCGGGCCGGGAGAAATATTTATATGGCCTACATTTATTTCTCTCGCGAGTTTGGGTGTAATATGTGGTTGTCTACTTATGTATGTGTCCATAGCACCCGCGATACAGGGTTTCCTTAGTGCGAGGCTGTAAGTGTGTACGTTATTATTGTTTTCAATTTGTCAGATAGCAAAGCGAAGATATTGTAACGTCAGTAATATAATTGATGCACTATCGTCCCTCTAAATGCGTTTATTGTAATAAGTAAACTCTAAGAAATAAAAAGTAACAAGTAATAGTCCAGGGAAGACCTACCTTACCTATTTCTGCCGCCTAGCTGTAATGTGAGCATTACTGCGTTTCAATTTTGAAAGGGTGCTGATGAAATTACTGGCACATGGGACTTTTCAACTTATATTTAAATGTGACGAGCGCTGTGGCAGTGACCTTGCCTCTTGTATGAATCTTCATGATTTAAAGCTTTAAGCAGCACTACGGCTGTTATGGACAGGCGTGTCGCTTACCACCAGGCGCACAACTTGTTCGTCCCATCACTTGGCATCACGGAAAAGTAACAAAGAAACGTTATGGGGTCATCACAGGCGTTGGATTTGCAGGTAGATATACCGCCATTGAGAAAAAATCAACTTGAGCCATGTCTTCTAAGAAACCAATGAGATAACTAGTGTAAACGACTTCGGCATACGTTCTGTAGGCACCCAGTCGGTTAAAGCAGATATTACATGAATAACTTGTGAATAGGTACAGTTTTCACATATGTTCCTACATTGCAGACGCAGTGTACGGTGACCACAGACCACAGACATATACATATGTATATGTCTGTGACGGTGACGTACAACATTGAACTTTGATTTGCTGCATTGACATGGTCTAGTTCTAGTTTTATTTTGCTGTAGTAAGATGTGCCAGTTCTAGTTATTTTGTTAATGTGGTATAAATTGTATGACGATTTATTGTATTTTAGGATAGTTACCAACAGCTAAACAATAAACATCAATAACATTTAATATTAAACATTAGCACATTCAAAATATTTAGAAAGAAAGAAAGAAAGAAAAGAAAGAAAAATAGTTTATTTGGTAACCATAATACAAATAGAACGTAAAAACAAAAATTAAAATAACCTTATTATAACATTTACTTAAAATAAAACAGTAATATATTTAAGATGGTACCAAAAAGGTCTCCACTCAGCTTATTTGTAACGAGACGTAGGGAAACATCTCGTTACGCTGATTTTCAGTGAAGCCACAATTTATAGTTAAATAAAAATAAAGTGGTTTCGACCATGTAAAAAGAAAAATAGAAAATTTAATTTAAATTTGAAAATTCAATTTAAAAAAGGAGAAACTGCGAGTACGTGTAGAGTCTGTGTGAGCGTGTATTGTGTGATCACTGTGTTACCATGTATGTGTGGTTGGGATATTAGTGTCAGTAGTGGAATGTCACAATCGCACCGCACGACTGCCATTGCTGTTGGACACCTGGCTAGATAATAAAAATTTCTTAAAAGACAATTTGAAGGATGCAAAAGATTTACAATAATTTTTATATTTTACATTTTCATTTATAATTAAACAACATTACTTTTAAACTTATAACAATTTAATTGTAACAACTACTTCGAAAACACCCTCGTAATAATGGTTACCCCGTCGCGATCACGAGGTAACATCCTGTAAGGGCAGAGTCGCTATTTTGCCCTTACACGTAGTGAATAAAAATTAGTCTTCGAAGTCATTGACTGACAAATAAAGTCAATGTTCGAAGTGTATTAAAAGAAGAAGAGCATAGGTTCCCAAAGTTTTTGGCTCACCGCACACTTAGGCAAGATAAAAAAAAATGAACGCCCGCTATCACGAAAACTAATTGTAGACACGTATTTTTTTATAATTATTAACTTAACCCAAGAAATATCAGAAGGAAAAGGAAATATATATAATTGTAGTGTAATTCAGATGTTTCACCACCTTGATGTTTATAATTTTTTGTGATATTACTCCACTAGTTTATTTTTATATTTATTTATACAAAGATCGAACACTTAGAAAATATTACTTCGATCCGGCCGGATTCGAACCTACGTCTTCTAGCAAACCGTGCCAGACGCTATGTCAACTAAACCACGGAATGTACCAGCGGATCTTACGAATTTTTGTATGTGCTTTTTGCAGATCTTTGTTTTTTAACGACTTTTTTGCCGTAGTAGTTATATGTAGTTTAATTTATATAGATAATTCAGGTCTTTTTTCAAATGTGATAAGGACCCCCTGGACAGCATCAATGCCCCCTACCGCCCCCTAGGACTCTTCAATGCCCAATAGGGAGCCGTAGAGACCCCTTTAGGAAACTATGAGGTAGTGCATATACACTTCCAGTATATGTAGATTCAGGTAATAACTATGTATTTTTTGCTGCTGAAAGTAATCGTAACCAGTAGTGAAATATTGTTGAATATCGGTCGGCAGTTACTTCTTAACAGTTATTTCCAATCGGCTAACGAATGGAAATAACTGTTATTAAAAATAGTTAATCTACGAATATGTTTAGTATTCAAAATTGTATCAAGATAAGATATAGTCCGATTGATTGAGTTGTTTTTAATCTTGTAATCTATCGTGGATTAAAATATTACGAACCTAATCGATTACTTTTGTCACTTTGCAAATATTTTTCTAGAAACGTTCTACAAAAACGATATCAGTAAACATGTTTGTGTATACTGCGAGTGACGGTATCCGTGGGGGGTGCAATATGAACACACAATTGTGTAAGGTTAGGTATGTTCAGGCGGACCGAAACTAAACTTCCAATAGACAAATTCAAATTGTCTATCTATCCATGGGTGGTAACCTATCACAAAGTCGAAAATTTTTATGTTAATAACGTTTGTTCGAATTTTCATTACACCGAAAACGAATTATAACGAAATAGTTGTTCCTTCAGGATATGTTGAACGTTTATCGCAAAGACACGATTAGGTTCGGTTAGGAGAGGTTAAGTTAGGTTTAAAAGAAAAAAACATTTTCCTCTCAAAATTACTTTCGAGGTTATGAAATGTCAACCAAACGTTATTTCTGGAAAATGTCATTTCGCACTACTGATAGGTAGGAACCAACCATCTATGAGTACGTCAATATGCATTGACGTACTCATACATTCCGTTTGCCGCGCAACATGGCCTGGTGCTGGTATTCCATGAGCTACTACTATACTGTCATATCAAATAAAACACCGATAAACATTCCTAAAGCAATCATTCATTAACCTTACAATCTTACCTATTTAACATGGCTCTATAAACCATATCGAACTTACTGAGTATCCTACTTACTATTTACATTTCATTAGGTACTACTACCTGTTTTAAATGTTCATACGATGCTGTTTCTCTGATTGTTCACTGAAGTAGTACTATAATATACTAGAAGTAACTCTGAAAAACCCTAACATTACACCATTTAGTCCGTCTTTGTAAAAGGGGCGAGAACCCCATTTCGAATTTTTTTCAGGGGAGCATGTTATAGATTTTCACGACTGCTTTAACATATGTACGTCCTGTTCTGAATTCGATTTTAAAACTTAAACTTAACTAAAACCAAAATTGAATTTTAAAACACGACGTAAATATTTTAAAACACTCGTTAAAATCTAAAACGTGCTCCACTGAATTATTTTTCGAAATGGCGCTTTCGCCCTTTCTACAAAAAACCAATGACATGAACCTCTCTTCATAAATAATAATATTAATCTGTATCTGTAAGTCTGTGACAGAGTGAAACCAAAGTTAAATTCCTGAAAAATAAAAAAAACAGTTTTTGTAAAAACATTTAAAATTTTAAGTTTGAAATATGGTTAATTTGTAGGTATTCGTATTACTTGAATTTCTGTACAACTCATCCCGTATTTATATACGGGAGAAGTCACTGTTATTCTCATAGAAAGTAATCACTTACACTTATTATAAGAGTAATTACTATTAATATCCTAGAGAATATTAAATCCCGAACAATGTTTTATGTGAATTCTGTATGCATTTAAAAACAAACATCTTATGTGATAGAATGTTCATTGCATTAACAGACAACTCCCGCGTTCTACATTTAGTAATAATTTTATTTTGTGTCGCACTTTGTCTATGTGTACGTTTATTTGTATTATATCCTTGCATAAAAAAACCCTTTTAGATTTAAGAATACCAAGTACCTAGATAATAAATTGTTGTAATATGAGTAAATAGTAAATATCGGTACGATATTAAGACACGTCGTCTTACATACGTCAGTCCAGAACACGTCAAGCTTGACACTTTAAACTTTGGACCGTTCTTATCGTAAGCGGCATAGAGTTGGATCTAAATCTTAAGTGTCAAGCTTGACGTGCTCTTGACCCTGTATATAAATACGTGTATAAAGATATCTCTACCATGGAGTCTGTACTGGACACAATACGGTTTATTGTATC